ACGAATGGAACCAAGTAGCCTTAAAAGCTAATAGTTTGTTCTGGTTCAAAAAAGAAAAAAAATTGAATTCAGGGCCTTTAGGCTGAGTCATCTTTTTTTTTTTAATTTGAGACACAGTTTCACTAGGTCACTAAGCTGCCCAGTCACTGGCTGAGCTTGAACCTTAAACCCAAATATTTTTGATATGACTATAGTCAGAGTACACAAACATTATACAAACTATTACTATGGCTTTGAACTCTTTGGATTAACAACAATTAATGTCATTTTTACTTAGGTTTTAAATTTCATACAAACCTTCAAAGGAAAAAGTCTTTCAAGGCCATTTAAAAAGAAGCAGATAATGACTAAAAAGCACATGAAAAGGACTGCAGCACCAATTGTCAATAAGGAAACTTAAATTAAAACAAGATACCACTTCATGCCTGCCAGACTGACTACAATAAAGAAGGCTGACAGTAACATGTATCGGTGAGGATGTGGAAGCCTCACACCTTGCTGGTAGAATGATAACACTTTGGAAAATGGCTTGGCGATTTCTTTAAGAGTGAGCCATAGACTCGCCTTTAATGTAGCAATCTCACACATAGGTATCTATTTCCAAAGAATAAGAACAAAAGTCTACATAAACACTTTCATAACATCATTCTCCATAAACCCAGGGAAAATGACTCAAATACATACAATTTGGCAAATATATACAATATATATGCTGGGGATTTAGCTCAGCGGCATAAGCGCCTGCCTTGTAAGCAGGCAGTCGTGAGTTTGATACCTGGTACCGATAAAAATGAAAAAGACAAAAAAAAAAAAGGTAAAAAAAAATATACAGTGCAATATGATTCATTAATAAAAAGAAGTGAAATTCTACATGGCACAAGATGAATAAATCTCAAAAGGATTGTGTACCCAAAGCCAGAAGCAATAGATATGTTACATGATTCGGCTTATATGAAATGTTCAGGAGGTGAAGTTATAAAGATAGAAAGCTGATAAGTGTGGCTGCCTTGGGGTTGGGGTGGAAGTAGAGACATTACATATAAATGGGGGTGATGAAAATATCCTAAGACTAGTTTGTGGTGCAGCTTTACACATCTACTAAGGAAAATACATATACAATGAATTGAACACTTACAAAAAGCAGAAGGACATGCTTTGAGCTACTCTTGGTGTAGTATTTTAAGAATGGTGAAATTTGGAATCTAATACTGCAAAATACTGGTAGAACAAAAGAATTTGTTAAGACTCTTGGTTTTTCAGATTATAAGCAAATTAGTCCTTAGTGTATCATTCTTCTATGTCTATGTCAAAGGACATGTTTAAAATAGTAATATATTTGAAAGGCACAAAGTGGGATGAAGTTGTTACCATTACATATCGTTAAAACAAAACAACGAAACCACCTTGTTTGCTTTTATGTTAATATGCTGCTACCTAGTGATCATTTATGAAATGGCAGGGCTTCCCCCAACCTTTGTAGTCTTGGATTTGTTGAGCCATGTCTGTATACTACAATTTTGGTGATTAATGATCCAAAAGTGTATTAAATATCCAAATGAATCTCTGAATAATTTTATGAAAATGTTCTACTGGTAAAAACTATACTGGGAGACTAAAAAAAAATAGCTTTCAGGCTCTGATTTGTGTGTCAGCTTTATGATTCTCAGCCAGGACAACATTAATTTACAGGCTCTATCCAGTTCCAAAGAGAAACTCTGTAAGGTGGTGACCAGGATAATGATGGTCGTGCTCTAAACTTCAGCATCATATCATAAATCTTTAAAATGGGGATGAAAGACAATTTACTGCTAAAGTAGTTGTGTGCACCCAGTGTTGCAATGCAGTGAAGGGCTTATCTCAGAAAATACCTCAGAAAAAAGTGAAGATATGAGAGCCTTTGCAGAAAATATCTCAGTAAAATAGGTAAGAGATGAGAGTCTTCCCCCTCAGAATGTGGCTTATAGGCAAAAATCCTTTTTCTGCTTGTTAAAACAAGTTTCTCCTCTCCATCAATGAAAACCTCTAAACTTCGAGGGTCAGCAAATAAGACACTGCGCTGCAGCTGTAGCTTGTGCAGTGGTAAGAGCAAGGCCCAGCTTGGAGAAAAAGATTCTTGGAATTGTCACCTGATTGGAAAAGCACATTTGAACAACTCAATTTTTAAAATAATGAATAAAAATTGCATAGCAGTTAGAACTTTTCAAGTCACTTGAAAATTGGAATTGGTGATTACTTAAAAATGATAGTGACAGGGATGTCACAGTATATCTGTTCTAGCTGCATCTCACTGTTATCTTACAGATCTCTGGCAAGTTAATACATGCTAGCTAGCACAGTGCTAAGCCAACATAATTCTTTCATTTTCCCAAGAACTAAAATGAGAGCTCGCATCACCTGGATTTTATTCCACAGGCTAGAAAATCATTCTGCTTAAGAATCAACAGCATCTGAAATTAAAGGATTTCTATCTTGTAGTTTACTTCTTCAACCATTAGAATATTTCTCTGGAATGTTAACATTTCAAGATGATCAATTTTAGCTTTTACTTTCCACGCAGACCTTTTGGTACTGCTTACATATTTTTAAAAAACAGCTTTACTGAGCTATAACTGAAATGTATAGAATTCACCTATTTAAAATGTACAGTTCTGAGTGTTAGGGTAGCTGTTATTACAATCCAGTTTTAAAATAATTCCAACATATGTTTTGTGTTTGACCAGACTTATTTTAAAAGAATTTATTGGATCACCAATCTGTACATTTAAACCATCGAGATCCAGAACTTAGCTGAAGCATTCATTTTGAACAGATCAAGCTTTTAGGAAAAACAAACTTATACTGTCAACTTGATTTAAATTAGAGATTGATAAATTATAGTCTCCAAGATACTATACTTTCCAGGGATACGTAGGCTAATTAAGAATATGAACATGAAATTTGTATGTAAGAATAAAAATGAATATATATTTTGAGTGTATATTTTATAAATTATAATTTATGCTGATAGACATAAAATTTTATTTTAAGATGTCTCAAGTTATATTTTATACAATGTCATATTTTGAAAGATGATTAGGTGACACAGATCTGCTAAACATTTTGAACTAGCACAACCAAAATTAATTGAAAAATATTTCTTTTTTCTGTAATTTATGCACACATTTGGTGGCTTGACCTTGAGGTATTAGTTTTGGTACTTAGGAAAAGTTTCTTCCTTAATACAATATTTGACGCCCTGATTTTGTGTAATGGCATTATTCAAGAAGAAATTAATTACCACACTCCTCTTTGTAGAAATACAGTATTTATGGTCCCCATCTCTCTATATAACATCTATTAAATGTGTACATTAATCTGGATGTGGTGGCACATGCTTGTAATTCCAGCACTTGGGATGCCAGGGAAGGAGGATCTCAAGTTCAAGGCCAGCCTGTGCTACATGGTGAGTTCCAGAGGAGACTAGGTTAGAGACTTTCTCAGAAAAATCTAAACCAATAATGATGATGATGATGATGATGATAAACATTAAAAATCTCTCATTAGCAAGAATTGAAATCTGGGAATAATGAAAATGCCTCTACCTATTTATTTTTGCTTTGTATTATCTCAGCTTATCTGTAGTGTTTTACAGGGGAATCTACATATTAATACCACTTTTGAAATTCCAAACATACCTTTTCTCTAATCCTGCAGAGTTTACTGCTAATTCTATGCATCCTGAGATTTAAATACCATTTTATATTGTTATTTAAGTGTTCCATATATGCTGGTTCAGTCTCTTCCATTGAATAAACTCCTTGTGGTTCGCCGAGTTGTTTATACCTTGTGCGAATGTAAATAAACGAATTTTCCACTTTCAAATACCTACACTGGACACACCAAAAGCTATTCATTAAGTACTAATTAAGTAGTCCGTGATAGCTTGGGTTTGTCTCTCCTCCTTTGGACCCCATAACATTTACACTTATCATACAGCCAAGATTTCCTAGACATTACAGATTTCCTGTTCTCCTGTCCTAACAGTTGCATGTGCCGCTCCATATGTCTGAGACATATGGTCCTCAATTGCTGTAATATGAATCCATCTCTCTTACAACAAACCTCAAGTATCTATTTCTCCCTTTTTTGGAACAAAAAGAAATTATTATAATTTCAAATACAGTCCCTTTAATTTTATACTCGACCTTTAAAGTTACAAAAGCATATTGTAGAAAACGTTTGAAAATACCAAATATTCAAAGCAAAACTCTCCTTCAAAGGTAATAGTCTATTTCTTTCCTGCGATATTCATTTTGAAACTTGTAACTCGGGTCCTCAAAGCGCAGAGAGCCTAGAGAACGTCCAGTACACATGGAAAGCAGCTGTGTGGTCCAAAAGATCGTGGGATTGAGACTTGCGTTCCCGTCTACAGAGCCCTCACTCACTCCCCTAGCTGGTGACGGCGTGTATTGCATACGGTGCTGCCCGCCGGTTTCACCAGGCTGAGCCTAGTGGGATGTGTTCAGGAAGCACAGCGCTACTCAAATCGAAAGGATTTTTTCGCAGTCTTCGTGCCTGTACAGCCGACTTTACAAAGCACGATGGCAGCTTTAAGGGCCCGTCCAGCACTCGGAATTCAGAGGTTCCGCCTTTGTCGGCAGCTTCTTCAGGGTTCTGCTCTTGGAGCGCTAGGACCCGGTTCCGAGACGGCTGTCAAACTCGTGCTCTCTCTGGGGCCGCCTCTTGGTCTCAGTATTTAAGGAAAAGTTCCCTTGGCCTCAGTCAGGCTCTTTCCTTTTCCCCGACCTTTAAATCTTGACCTCTCAATCTCCGCAGCTCTGCTTCTCCTAAATTTCAAAACCACCTCAGCCACGCCCCTGCCGGTTTCACCCTGGTCCGCCAAGCCCCCTCACTCTATAGTTTTGATTTCGGCGCGTGCAGGCTTGTAGACGGCTGTGATTGGTTGGAGATGAGCGAATTTCCTATATGATTGGCTGACAGTAGTAGACCGGCTATGAGCCAAGGCCCTAGGCAGAAGACGAGTTGTGATTGGTTCTCTAGTGAGGCGGGGCAATCTAAAAGGCGGAAGCAAAGGAGGGGCTTCGTTGGAAGACCCCAGAGGAGTTATGGAACTAGTTAAGTGTCCAGAGCATGGTAAGGGCTCAAAATCTTAGGAGTTAGTTCCCTGGGGCCTGCCGAACCAGCGTAGCATAATTCTTATTGATCTTGTTTCCTCAGAGAATTTCTGCTTTTTGAAGACCGGCGTTCGCGATGGCCCGAATAAAGGAAAGAGCTTCTACGTGTGCCGGGAGGCCACGTGCGGCTTCGTGCAGGCCACAGAGTAAGTCTCTGGCGGCTCCCTGTGACAGTGTCCGCCGAGGCTCTTGGGACGAGGGCGGCCTCTTGCTGTCTGCGGTGCCGGGAACATGAAGCGGTTGGTAATTTCATCGCTTCCGGGCGTGCTCGGAAGACACTGCGCCAGTTCTGGCAGTGTAACCCGAGATTGGTGACTTTACCTCGCTGGATCGTGGATCCCCGCAAAATGAAGGATCCCATCCTGTTTGGATCTTTGCAGACTTCTAGCTCTAGGTGTCTAGTCACCCATTAAACCTTAACTTCGTCCTTCTGCTTGAACTGCACTGCCACCTCGACTCTCAACAAGTGAAACTGCAGGAGACGGAGACGTCCTTCTTTTACACTAGTTTTAGAGTAAACCATTTTTAAGTGTTTGAGGTTAAAACACTGGTGGTTAAGTTTTTGGTCTATTTTTTAATGTAATTTTCAGAATCTTAATGTTGAGATTGATTATCCAACAAGTAAATTTCTTTAAAGAGCAGCACAGAAAGAAACAGCAGAGATCTGATTCAGTATTCTGGTTTCACTTGATAGTTCAGACCTAGATATGTTAAGCATCCTAAGGTGGGGAAAATCAATACTGAAGTGTTAATGTTTTGTGATACTAAGTGTCTACAGTACTTATTTTTCCTACTGTGTGTTCTGCTGACCTTGCAGAGCAGTTATTTTCTTCATATTTTATATAAAGTACGTAATCGATATGAGTACTAGAAAACAAATCATTTCAAGATGTTAATTTCTCATACTTTCCTTATATGCGTTAAAAGATATGTTTCTTCATTTTTGCTTTTAAACTAAGTGTAAGACCGAATCTTTTTTCAGTTTCTGAAAATAAACTTTTACAGAAAATATTTTCTCAGTCCTGTTACAAGTTTTTTATTATTATTATTTGGAAGAAATACTTAGATCACTGTCAAAAGATAAAAAACACCAGTCAACATTCAAGCCCATCTTTTGTCAACAACATGTCAGAGTATGCTATTACTTTTTGCTTTCTAAATACACTGAGCCTTTTTGTTGTTATTTTGGTACCGGGAATTGAACCCAGGATTCTGCATTTGCCAGGCAGGCACTATAACACTGAGCTATATCACCGGTCCCCATTGAGCCTTTTTGATTCAGTAGGCAGCTCAAATTTTGTAAGACATAAATATGTTCAAATTTACAGGAACTGAATGAACACTGATGATGACATAAGACATTAAGAAAAACATACTCTTAAGAATATCATACCAATGTTCTGGTATACCGATGAGTACAATAATACTTTATTGAGGACAATTTTTGATAAACTTGGTATACTTGAACTATGTCTGATGATGAGAATATAGGCCAAATAAGTTTCATAAGTCATAGGAGAGTACTTTATACCTTAATTCAAGCCTGTATACTCTCAGATGCTTAAATAATTTTTACACACTAGGAGCGTAGTTTAAAAACATATACCAACCAAGTAGCAAATTAATAGGGTTTTATTAGAAGTAGATGTTTGACTAATACTAAGTGACAGCTATCAGGCGATTAAATGATAAATGGGTAATGAGAAAAATTGACATAGGGTCTCTGCCAGCCTTAGACTTGTCATTTTGAGTGTCACTGTGTTGGTCAAGCAATAGTATAGCTTTATTTTTTTATTTTTTTATTTTTTTTGTCTTTTTCCTTTTTATTGGTACCGGGGACCAAACTCACGACTGCCTGCTTGCAAGGCAGGTGCTTATGCCGCTGAGCTAAATCCCCAGCCCCCAATAGTATAGCTTTAAACTTTTGAGTTACCAAAAAAGACATTTATTGTCATGCTTTATTTGAGCAAATGAGGAAAGATACAATCTATGGACCCTTCCCCCAAGAGGAAAGCACTTAGATATGACAATGTGTGGGATTTACAAATCCAGTGGAGGATACACATAGATTCTTGATTTGAAACTACATTGAATTAGACTTTAGGATGTTCACCTCTGCTCCTTGGCTCCTCAAATGAAATGTTTTCCTTTTTTTCCTCTAGCATCCCTGTTTCCCATTGTTTATTTCATGAGGATTTCGTGGTAGAGCTTCAGGGTTTGTGTCTACCAAAAGGCAAGAAAGAATACAGGTAAGGATTCAAAGAGAACACCAAAATGTATTTCCTTTTTTGTTTTTTCTATAAAAAACTTGCAGCTAGGTACAAATTCTGTATTATTGGGTATCTCTGGGACTGTCATTCTCAAACTGCTGAACAACTGGTTAATCTGAGAAGCCTGGCCCTTGGCTAATTTCTGTATTAACAGTTCTACCATTGTTCCTCTACAACTCTGAAGTAGCTAATAACATCTGCTCCCCCAGTAATAGCTTCTGACTTGTTAGCTTTTAATTCTGGTAGGAAAAGGAGATAATATGTAACAAATTGTAGAATATGTGAAATACACCATAAATTATAGTTTCCCTTCCTTTGTTTGAAATTTGGGAAGGGCAGGGTAGTGTATACCAGATGAAGATGACATTTGTCTTGGACTTACTGAAAGGTAACTAGGAATTTACCAGGTATTAGAAAGGAGTCATATTACTTAATACTTTACATTAGCGTATCATGGCATAAAAGAATGTCATCTCTTCAGGAAATTTTGTTTGGAAGTAATTTAGCAGGTACTTATTTATCTGTTGCAGGGCTGGAGATTGAACCTAGGCCCTCATACATGCTAAGCATGCATGCTCCCACTGAGCCTCAGTTTAGTATTACTATTTAAGTAGAGACTTGAGGAGATAAGGTTGACTAAGAAGACAAGAGCTGGAATTTTACTATCTTTGTACCATGTGCTGTGCATTTCAGTATTTTTATATGCTAGGTCTCCGTACCCCCCACCCCAATATACAGGCAATGAAGTACTAACTTCACAATTGTTAATTGACTTATGCATATAGGTAAGATGCACAGGTCTTGAGTTCAGCTGTTGAATTTTGAGATATATGTACATGCACCCATGGAACTAAGACCCAAGTCAAAAGACCAGGCCATTAAATCACATTTTTTCCATTTTAGTACTTTCCAGTTGCCCTTAGCAATTAGTTTTGATTTTTATCACTTAGATTTGTTTTGTTTTTGAACTTCATATAAATTAAATCATGATTTATGCACTTCCATGTATGACTTTTTTTACTTAATGTCTGATAAATTTATCATATTGTATATATCAGTAATTCATTCTTTGCTAAATTGAATTTCATTTAATAATGTATCATGTGTTTAGTAAAATAGCTGATAAATCTTTTACCCATTTTTAATGGAAACTTTTATTGAGTAATTTTAGATCCATATGAAGTTTTAAGAAATAGTGCAGAGAAATCCTTGTAGTCTTTACCCTAGCAGTAGTATTTATAAAAACTGGGATATTTACATAGTCCACTGGTCTTACTGATAAAGATGAGTTTTTACTATTACTAATTTGTGTGTGTGTGTTTGGTGAGTTATTTTTGTTTGTTTATTTGCTTTGGTTTTTTTTTTTTTTTTTTTTTTTTTTTGGTGCTACTCGGGATTGGACCCAGACCTTTCACACTGAGCTACATCCTCACCTCTTTCTTATTTATGAATGAATGAATGAATGCCAAGAGTCTCACCAAGTTGTCCAGGCTGTCCTTGAACTCATGTCCTCCTGCCTTATCCTCCCAAGTAGCTGAGATGACAGCAGAGTACCACCACATGTGACTCGCATTAGCTTTATACAGTTTTACACATGTGTAGTTCACCTGTCTACCGCCATGATCACACCTACTGCCATGATCACACCTACCGTCATGATCGGAATGGTCCGATCACCACAGGAGTCCTTCTGTTACCCTAATGTAAAGGTACCTACCTCTTTCTTTCTTCCCTAGCATGAGTCTGTTCTTTATTTCTAAAGTTTTGGTTTTTCAAAACTGTTACATAAAAGGAATGATATGGTGTAAACTTTTGGAGTTTTGGCCTATTTAAAAATTTTTGTTACTTTTCATTATTGAGTTGGAAGAGTTCTTTATGTATTTTCTGTACCAGTTCTTTGGCAGGTATTTGTATAATGAATATATTCTTACAGTCTCTGGTTTTCATTTTCTCAACTGTTGAGCAGGAATTTTTAATTATTATGAAGTCCAACTTACGGTTTGTGCTTTTTGTGAAATCTTTGTCTATCTCAAGATCACAAATACTTTTAGTAGATCTTCTAGAGGCATTATGTTTTTTTAAATAGTTTTTTTCATTTAGATGCACAATCTATCTCAAATTAATTTTATATACTATGTGAGGCAAAGTAGAAGTTATTTATTTTGTATATATTCCTAATACTTTCGCACTGTATTTTGAAGATTTTCTTTTCCTATATTGAAATTCTTCACATTTTGTTAAAGATCAATTGATTATAAGTTTTGGTCTATTTGTGGTATTTTTGATTTGTTCCACTGATCTATTTATATATTCTTACCTGGGTAATCAGGTAAAATAATGTGAATCTTCCAACTTTATTCTTTTTCAAGATTGTGTTGGCTGTTCTGGGACCTTTGCATTTCCATGTAAAATACAGAATGAAATTTTTTGATTTCCACAGAAAACATTTGACGTAAATTTTCTGGGGAATAAACTTCAATATTCAGTTTTCCAGTCCATGAACATTGTATATTTACTTATAAATCACATTTTTTTCTCAGCATTGTTTAGTAATTTTCATTATAGAGTTTTTATACTCCTTTTGTTAAATTTATTCCTTATTTTTGATGCTGTTGTAAATGGAACTTTGAGCTTTATTTTTGGATTGTTTTCTGCTGGTATATTGGGACTGGTAAACCTGTGTTATATGAAGTTTGGGGATCCTCCTGACACTTCATCCTGAAGAGGTTATGATCAAAAAAAATTACAGGGGCTGGGGATTAGCTCAGCGGCATAAGCATCTGCCTTGCAAGCAGGCAGTGATGAGTTCAATCCCTGGTACGGACAAAAAGGAAAAAGACAAAAAAAAAAAAATTACAGCACAGGATGCATATATCAGACAAACATTGATTACTAGTACTGTACTGTATGTGCTGAAATGCAAATAAAATTTAAATAATACTGCAAATTTACACTTATTTTTGTGTAACATTTACAGCCTTGAAGTCATCAAATATAAAAGCATTAAAAAGCTTTTCTTTTCAAACAAAATATATAAACAATGTCTTTAACATTAATTAATCAGAATCTTCAATAATTGATTTTGTAAAACATTACAATGATCGTTGCAAACAATATTCCTCCTGTCAAGGCATAAATGCCTTCACAACACTTGCAAAAATGTATCGATAAATGACTTGCTTTGAATGCATTTCAAAGCAAGTAGAGGAAACTGTATCTATGGTGTCATTACAGTTTGTGTTTAAATTTGATGCAGTTCAGGTGTAAAGGCTTATACACACCTGTAAAAATTTCCGAATGCCTTTTTACCGACAGTAACAGCTTTGTGAGATTTCTAAATCACTTGCATTTCATGTTTGACTCTTTATCTTTTCATTATCAAACTTGAATAGTGTTTGCTCAAGTTTTTCAATGTCTCTTGGACTATTTTCCCAGCCATTTTGAACAGTGAATAATAATAAAACAGACTGAGAGGTAAAGTATTTCTCAGATAGTTTCCTATCCAGTGTTGCATACCCTTATGAACACATGACAACCAAACTGATGACTTAAACATTATGGTTTGACATTAGTTATATACAAATAAGCAGCTCATCTTGACTTTGAATGTATGAATCCCATATATGCAACAATATTTAAGAAGAAAGTTTTTTTGTATTTCTCCAACCCAGAAGTGTGGCACAAGCTTGTAATCCTAGCACCCTGGGAAACTGAGGCAGAAGGCTCAAAAAGTTTGAGTTTAGCCTGGACAATTTAATTTATCCACTTAGTGATAAATTATTTTACCCTCTCATAAAATAAATAATAACAGTAAAATGGCTGAGATTATAGTTTAGTGTGAAGGGCAAAAAAAATTACACATGTACTACTGAGGAGCCTTTTTTGTACTTGGTGAAAGGAAACTGGAGGATTTCCAATTTGCATTTAAAAAACTATGAAGATTAAAACCTGAAGATAGTGAAGGCACTATTAGAAAGACAGTTGAAGCATAGCTACTACTGAATGCCTGGGAAATGCCGTTTACCCCTTATCTTACATAGCTATCTATTTTGATAGTGTCAGTAACCCCAGTTTATATTAGATGAGGGAAATCGCCACTGGACAGGTTAGAAAAGCAGACTTTCCTAGTAGGACATTTCAGTGTGTCCTTCCACCACTTTCTTTTCTGGAGTGGCAGCGACAGTTACCCTGGCTTCCCCAGATTTTGAGAACCGAGAGAGAGTATGTAGGATGTACTCAAGCTGTTGGGCATGTTGTCATGGCTCAGGAAATAGTTGCTAAGATGGAGTTTCTGGGTGATGAGTTTATATTAAGCAAACAAAAAAGGGAAGGGTAACATCAGTAGAGGATTCGGATATATTGCTAACATACACAGCTGTGGACTAACCATGTCTTATGTATAAATTTACTGCATGTATTTTTTAGCTCAAATCATCCACAATAGTTACTAGTAGGTACTTCCTGGCACACTAACACTGAAAAAGTTTTCTTAAAACAAATAAAATAGGGGGCTGGGATTTACCTCAGTGGCATAAGCGCCTGTCTTGCAAGCACACAATCATAAGTTTGATCCCTGGTACAAAAAAAAAAAAAAAAAAAAATATATATATATATATATATATATAGATAGATAGATAGATAGATTACAGCACACAAGTTAAAAGACAAAAACAAACCATATGCATACACACGTGTGCATACATATGCACAAGCGTGCGCATGTGAGACAGGTAATACAGGCTGAAATTCAAATGAAATAATACGCCCTGTGGATGTCAATGACTTTACCAGAGTAAGAGCATTTAGCTAGACACTCTGTACTCTAGGGAATGACTTTGGGGGAATTCTGCCTTCATGAAAACTGAATTCTCTTTTTAAGAACTTATGTATTTTATACCTTCTAAGTAATATATTTGGCTTAACAGAGCTGGGATAGAGAGGTGCAGTAATAAAAGCAAAGTGTAAGTTGAGGCTAGGCACCTGTTTTCCATGCTTTGCAGCCTAACAGCGTTTGTGTGTAGTTCTCTGATTTAAACAGCAGAGGGTACCACTCACCAGCATTTGCTGGGCCCTCAGTGTATGCACAGTTAAAAAAACCAGTCTTTCAGGGGAACCTAAGGAATGAATCTTGCTTTGACATGAATAATGTAGCATACACTGTATGTAAGTGTTGGACATTGTCATCAAACTCCCGCGTTGACGTTTTTTCCTCTCTTTTTTTATTTTAAGGATACGGGAGTCAAAATAGTTGGAAATACTGTCCTCCTTACCTATAAATGGGTAAAACAAATTTTAGTACTTTCACTGGTTGTGGTAGGATGTTCAGAGTATTTCATTTTTAGTAACAACTGAAGTTTTACACGTCTTAAAAAAAAAAAACCCTTTTCTTGAGTTTTAGATGAAACTAACCTGCAGCATATCCAGCTGCAGTGGGAGGCTGATTATAATAGACACCTGGGCCCAAGCCACACCCATGCAGAAGGCCCTCGAGTCCCACTAGTCATGAAGAACCCCACTCAGTAAAGGAGTGGCGTCTTAGAGATGCGGAGTGTCATGCTGTGTGCTGCACAGTGGAGGTGATTCTTCACGGAAAGACTATAAGTCCTTTGTAATATGGGTGACAGTTACTTTTTCCTAGTTGCTTTATGTCTTATGATTTTCCTGTATAGTTTTACCATAAGGAAGTTTAAAACTTTTATGTGGTCAAATTGCTAAGTTCTTTCTCTGTCAGGTTTGGAGTTTAATGTGATGTTTAGAAAATCCTCTTTCACTCTAGAATTACCAAGCCATCTTTTTTTCCCTAGAACACTAGAGGTTGTTTTTTTGTTTTTTTTTTTTGTTTTGTTTTTGTTAAATTTTGAATTTTGGTGTAAAAGAATGACAGAAACCCAATTTTATGTTTCTCAATGCTGAGCATATAAGATGTGGGTTTGTACTCTTGAGGACCCCTTGACATCACCAGTATAAAAATTAGACACAGCAAGTCAGGGGAGCAGCCGGACCTGCAGTTGGGGTGCTGGATTGAATGTATTTACAGTCGTCAAGATCCACAATGAAAGATTAAGGTTGGGAATGTTAAATAGTTGAGACTTGATGCTTGGCCTTGAGTGAACTTTTCAATTTGATAGAGGAGAGGCTAAAAAAGTGTTCCAGCAAAATAGCATGCACAGGAATGTGGATATATGAATAAGTAAAATGGCTGGCAAGAGTGAGCTCATGATTTACCTTTATGCATTGGTGCATTTAGTATTCACACTGACCATATGGCATGGTATAGATACTATTATTATGACTTCATGAGCTTACTGGAAAGGAAACTGCCACAGGTGAGGTAGTTAATGACTCAGGACTAATGCGAGAGGGCTGGGATTTAAATCACTAGAAGGGAATTTTTTGGAGCCTGAGAGAGTCTCCACCTTGCTGAAGCGAAGGTACTTGACATGCCATGCTGGGCTGACAGTTACCTGTAGTAGGAAACAGGACTTGTTTTCTGGTGAAGCTGGACTCGAGACAACTGGCTTCATCTAGCAAGATTCATCATCATTTTTTAAAAAACCTTTGTCCTGAGAAAATTAATAAATATACTGCAAAAAATGTGATCTCCTATAAGTAGAACCAATATTTGCTTTCTCTGTGAAAGTATATTTCTACTACCTTCTTTGTAGATTTAAAATCTAGTAAACGTAAAGATAGGAACTTTTTATTCTGAGAATACAGAAACCAGTCTAGATTAGTTAATCTGGATTGATTGAATTAATTAATTTAATATTTTACTAAATCACTTAATTAAAAATATAACTAAGGTATTTGAGTACGATTCCTAGCAGATAATAAATATTTAGTGTGTGTGTGTGTGTGTGTGTGTGTGTGTATTTTCCTTTTCCAACTTGTCCTGAAAGTCTGCATGGCTTGGGTTTTAAAATAGAAATTTATTTGACCCAACTATTCCCCTCCTAGATATCTTCCTGAAAGAGTTAAAAGATGTATTACAATGACACGCATATACCCATGTTTATTGTAGTGCAACTCATAATATGAAGTGTGGAAGTGGCCTTATATGTCCACCAATACGATATTTCTACACACTGGAGTATTACTGTGCTGTAAAGAAGGATGAATTTGGATCATTTGTAGGAAAATGGATGCACTTTGAGGCCATAATTTTAAGTGAAATAAATCAGACACAAGCTTAAATATCACATGATTTCTCTTCTATGAGAAATCTAAAGTACAGCAAGTAACAACTTAAATAGCACCCCAAATAAAGAGCAAAATGAAAGATTAGTAGGAAAAAAGGCAATAGATCTTTTGCAAATGGGGAGGCAGAGGACAGTAAAGGGTCTTAAAAAGCATAAAGATGTGTTATACACGTGTGCCAACTCTCCATGATGAACATTATGTACTACAAACGTACTAATAAAAATACATATTTAAGTGAAATACATACTGTTATTGAAATCTTTCAGTAAAGAGCTCATTGTTCCTAAGGAGGGTTTGGTTAAAAATAAAAGACCCTTAAGTGGAAAACTATCTGTAAAATATATATTTGAGAAAGTCATTTATATAAATATTCTTAGAGAAGAATACCCAAGGCATTAAGTTTTTAAAAATGGCAAAATATTTAGTACAAATTGTGTATTCCTTCTTTAAAATGCTTGGGACTAGAAATATTTTCAGGTTGCAAAGTTTTTCAGATGTTGCAGTATTTGCTGACACATCTATCTTGGGACTGGGACTAAAGTCTAAATGTGAAATTAGTTTATTTTATATATACCTTACACATATAACCCAAAGGTAATTTATACCATATTTTAAATAATTTTGTGAAATAAAGTTTCATGATACAGGATTTTCTACTGTAGCATCATATTGATGCTCAAAGGTTTGGAATTTTGGAGATTTTTGGATAAGGCCCGCTCATCTTGTATTATGCTACCCATTTGTGTGGAAGAGGAAAATATTCAATGTATATATTTACATTGACTTTAATATGCATTTGAAGATATCCAGAAAGGTAAACAAACAGACAACAGTAAGAATGGTTACATATTGGAAAGAAATTGGATACCTTGGTATTGGAAGGTGGTTTTCACTACCTTTTTATACTTTTTCATTGACTACTATTTAAACAAAGTATGTATTAAAACTCTTATTTAAGTGGTTAAAAATTTTTAGGAACCATTTTAAGTAATGAAAAAAAATAATTCTATTTTATTCAGTAGTACTTAACCAAATGGCAAGGCATAGTTGTGAATAAAGAGATGTACTGTAACTTGTTGAAGACAACCAGATGTTTGTCCCATAGTGTTTCCCAGTGACAAGATTTTGCAGATTATATTTCCCATGGTCTAGTTTTGCATGTTCTTTCCTTTCTTTGTATTTCCTGTGACTTGGTAATTGGATTTAGCAGTCTGACCAGGTTTGGGTTACTTTTTAGTTTTGAAGGATGTTTGTGTTTTTCAACATCCCTTTCTAGATAGCATTGTGGCACCCTTATCAGCATGCTCCATGCTGGGGAATCCCCTTCTTCCTACTGTAGCAGATCAAAGTCTGCTGATCGGTCTCCATTTTAGTGTTTTTTTTTATTGAGTAAAAACGACTGACCTGTGCATGCTCTTGGTTACCATATGATCTTTTATTCTTTGACTTCCTAACTCTTAAAATGTCTGGTGCCGTAAGGTTGTGTTTTTGTTTTTGTTTTTGGTGCTGGAAATTTAATACAGGGCCTTGGCACTGGCCTCTATCCCCAGCCCAGCTCTTTTTAAAATTGTTTATTTTAATATAGGGTCAGGATTTTGCTAAATCACGACATTATCCAGCTAGGGCCCAGTTTGCAATTCTGCTACCTCAGCCTCCCAGGTGCTGGGATTATAGGTATGTACCACCTCACCCACCTTCAGTAAGAATGTTTTATGTGTGTACAGTGGTATTTAGGTTCATGAATTTGGTTCTTTCCACTATTCTACTTGCAAACTGAATCGGATAAGAACTGAATCAAATTACAAGTGTAATTGGTTTCAGATGACTTCCCAAAGCCGGGATCAAATAGTTGTAAGATATTTGCTTAGATTAAAAATAAACTTATCCTTTGTTTTAAAGCCTTTTTGCAGCCTTGATTATTTGTGCTTTGTACTTAATTAGGTTGTTCTTCCGATGTACCAGAAGTAAGGCAGAAGGGAAAAAATGGTGTGGAAGTGTTCCATGGCAGGTAGGAATTATTCATCTATTATTTAATCTGCTGTGTTAAAACTGAAAGGACATTGCAATCATGTAAACTTATGATCTTTATCAAATTGGGTCTGAAAGTTTTCTTTAAGCAAGATAGATCCTGATGGGACTATTAATTCAAAGGACCATTTGTTATATTCAGGATTTTTATGTCCTATTTCACTCATTCAGATATTTTTCAGGATATTAAATGCCCTAGTTAGGAAAAAAAAAGTACATATTCTTGACTAATGTCTTCATCTTTTTGTAGACCAATATCTACTTGATTTTGGAAGCTAGATGTAACTCACAAGCAGTTAGAATGTTAAGATGAAGACAAGCCCTATGGATATCCAATACATGGGGAGGTGATAGTACTCGTATTGGCAAAGATATGGCTTAGACTTTGGTTCTGTATTCCTCTAGTGAAATCTTCTTAAAGTCAAAAATCAAAGGTAGTATATTAAGACAGTGTTTAGGTTTGGAAACAAGTTCATCTTCAGAGAATGGTTTTCCTAAAGAATATGCATTGTGGCTATTGGATCATAGAAAGCAGCTTGGTTTAGTCTCTGCTTTCCCTCCAGGCTTAGAAAGTTTTATCATGGACAGAGAAGGAACCAAACATTGAAAGTTAAGGAACCCAATCTTTGTGAGTTTGACACCTGTTCTTTTATAGATGGAGATACGACACCAGAAGTGTTTAGAAATAGTAAGCGGCTTGTATTGTGTTTCCACTTTCTCTGAAAATAAGGGTACTCTAGATTAACAGGCTGCATTATTTTACATTACAGTGAATCATTTTCATTATCCCTAGGATCCTAATTCTAAAGAACACCCTATCACCATTAAGTCTCATGCCTCTGAGCCATTTCCTCATCCTTTGAGCCAGCCGAGAAACCCATTCAAGGTGCTTGACAAGAATCAAGAATCAGCTCTTTGGAAACAGTCCATCAAAAAGGAAGATGAGACAAAGCCAGCTGATGGGAAGCCAAGGGAAAAGGGAGACCAGCTGTTGGATGAAAAGAAGCTACAGAAACCTGAATCTAACCACTGGATGGAGAAAGGGCTCTCGTCTAACCTGGTGATAAAGAAAAAGCAATCCACAGTTCAAGAGAATGAGCAAGAGAAAAGATCGGAGGTTCCCTGTGGAAGGGAGGAGGCTGAAGGAGTTGCATCCAAACACAGCAATGGGAATGAGCTGAGAGGAGCATCGGTGTCTCCTCAGGAGAGGTCAGATGGTGAAAGTCAAGGTGTCCAAAACAAGTCAGACCTTTTGAGAGGAAATGAAATCCAGCTTTTGCCTCATATTGTTCCTAGTCAGAACCCAGTAAATCAGCCCCAGAAAGAGGGACATCTCAGTAAGGCTCACCTCAAGAACTGCAAGGCTAAGGAATCAGAGGCAAAGGATGGCCCAACTACACAGAACTTCCAGAAAAGCCTCCCTCAGGAGCATATCCAGGCCCAGGTGGAGGCTGTCTTGTCTGATCAGAAAGGACCAATGGCATCAGTGCTTTCTCGGGGAGAGGCTGCCCCTAGCAAGGATGACAGTGGGGAAGGTGATGTTGCTCTTGCTTCTGATAAACCAGAGAGCCCGCTACTTTTTGCCTCAACAATGGACAAAGACAAGATGGAGAATCTTCAACTTCTTAATCCAAGTGCTCAAAGAAAAATACCTGCAACCACAAGGATTTCCAGCAAGGTGGAACCTTCCAACTCAGCAGCCCAGCATGTGTGCCTTACCACACAGCTCAGACAAAAGAAGGTAACTCATGACTTGGGCTTTGTTTCTTGGGGCAGAGGATTACTTGCTGTGGACAGCTAGGAGACCCTTAGAGAAGAGCTTGATATAGCAACCGTTAAAGGTTGTATAGGTGGATATTTAAGGGTCTCCTTTTTCCTATGCTTATATTTATAGGGGTTAATAAGCCATTGGTTTTTTTTTAAAGTCCGTTTTTTGCACACATAATTAAATGACCATAATTTTAGAATTTTAGCATGTTTTAATCTGAAACTGCCTTCTAATAACTGGACAGGAGCAATCTGATAGGATCTGTTTTTCAGAGCACCCTGGCATCAGTGAACATCCAGGCTCTTCCAGATAAGGGTGAGAAGTTACTAAAGCAAATACAGGTGCTGGAAGAAGCACTTAGTGCCCTGACCCTCTCCTTGGAGCAAGGTAAGTGGTTATGCCCCAGAACTCAGGAATTTCTTGAACCAGACAAGAGATTTGTTTGTTTGTTTGTTTTTCTGCTGAGTCATTTTGATGAAGAATATATAGAATATGCCTTTTTCTTTTGCAGTCTGCTTTTTTTCTGAAGTTATATCTGAAATTTATAGAAAACGATCTCCTGTTTTTTGTGGACTAAAATTCTCTTTGCCATTGTTTAAATGCAACCACTATGTTTTCTATGAAGCCTTCCCAAGTTTATTGGATTAGGCTGACCTGACTTGTACACAGACAGTTCCTTCACTCCTCTTCCCAACCTTAATCTGTTCTTCCTTTGTTTCTTGAGCAGGATCTAATGAGGAAAGTAATACTCAAGCATCAAAACAGAGCAACTTCACCAAAGCTGCCAGTGACCCTCCCCAAGTGGTGCCTGCCCAACCCATTCCGTCACATCATGATCCTCAACCTCTGAGTTTTCTAGGACTAAACTCAGGTGCTCAGGAAACTGCTAGAGCATCCAGTCAGTGCCCTGGAGGTAGGATCCAAGCTCCTGGGGGGACCTACTCTGTGGGGTTAAGTGCCAACAGATGTGTTTATCCATGAGAAGGGAGAGGCCATTCTAGAATTAAAAGTCACATGTGCATAAAAGGTCATAATTAAATCTCAGCAGAGCTTTGTACAGTGATACTTAGATCCCCGTTAGCCCAGAGACTGTGTCTACCTTGTAAACTCACCTGTCAATGCCTGTGAACGAAAACTCTAGCTAATATTATTATCAGATAGGTAAACCTGCAGTTCACAGCTCTGTTCTTTCTCTGTGGAGGAGTAGGGATGGATGAGTGTATGCTAAGGCAGAGCAGAAGAATGACGTAAGTGAAACCAGTGACTTACAGACCCACAGAGAGTAGTAACCCTTGTATAGCTGAGCTAAGCATCTCTATTGAACACTTTGAATGCAGACAACTTAGAATGCAGAATGAAGATCCTATGTAGATTAATTGTGGCATCGTATGAGCTGGTTTGCTAGTCTGGAGACAAAACTCAGGTTGCCTGGCAGGAGCTAGAAAAGCCAGTTTTCTCTCAGTTGGGAACTGTGAGAGATGTAAAAAGTTGAAGAAGAGCGCTAAGTGTTAGCAAAGGGGAAAGACATAGATGTGGAACCATTTGAAGGTAAGGCCATACTAGACGGAAATGAGAAAACATACTTATTCAAGTGTCATAGAAGACTTGGTCACTCAGGCTCTGTGAGAACATTGCCGTGTTACAGTGTCATTTCTTAAGGTAGTGGTGACTGAGCCACGTAGAGAACTATTGCATTATGTTAAATTATTATGGTAAAATTCATGTACTGTATCTTGGAAATAATTTCATAAAGACAGTCTTAAAACATTTTAACATTTAATTAATTTTCCTTTTTCCAGAAAACTTTTACTTGAAAAAGTAAAGCTTAGGCTTTATCCCTAAAATTGTGAACCATCACGGTGCCTGTTGTTACTCACTTCTTGTAGGAGTTGTCTGTGTAGAATGCACAGGCTGACAGTACTGCAGTACAACGCAGTCAACCCAGGGCCTGCTCATTGTGGGCTTCGCTCCCTGTGTAGTCAGGCTTCAACATATAGTTTCTATCCCGGCCTTTTTTGTGGTTGTTTTTTTCTCTTTCTACTCAGTGATCATTTCTTCCTAAAATACTTTTTGTCTGCAACCTGTTCAAAGCTGGGAAGTAAACTGTCAAAACTATCAAAAGTTGGACTGGGGATACAGCTCAGTAGTAAGGCACTTGCCTTGCATGTGTGAAGCCCTGGGGTCTGTCTCTAGCGCTGCAAAAATCCGGGAAAAAAAAAAAAGAAAAGAAAGGGAGGAGAAAGGAAAGAAAGCAAGAGATGGCTTATCTTTTCATTATGCTATTGTTTTCTCCAGTATTATAGTTACTGTTAATGTGTTTAAAAACACAAGCAGAGAATCAGAATAGAGAAGTTTGTGAGGCCAAGTGAGCCTGGAGGCAAGAATTGTTAGTCAATAAAGATCCACCACTTGACAAATAATTAATTGCTGTTTTGCAATGTAGCTAAGCCATAATACTTGTGCTATCTTTGGGTGACACTATTTGTATGCAGAGCATGGAAAGCAAGATCCGTATTATGCAGTATGGAAACTCACAAGTGAAGCTATTGATGAGCTGCATCGATCACTGGAGTCCCGTCCTGGCGAGACAGCAGTGGCGGAAGATCCAGTTGGCCTGAGGGTGAGCCAGGAAAGTCACAGTGCAGAGTACCCATAACAGTGTTGGAGTCTATGAAGAGAAAGAGTACTGTAAGACAAAGTTGTAAAGTTATAAATTTCTATGACTTAAAAGGATACATTTATTAAGTTTTTAGTGGGTGACACAAGCTGGCAAAAGAATGTATTCGTTATGAACCAGTTACGGCAAAAGTACATACAAGACGTACATAAAACAATTAGAAAATACCTAAAACAAAGATTCAGTGTGCCTTGTATGATAGCTGCATATGAAGTACAAGTGGGATTCAAAATAAAATATTATTATAGTTGTTTGACAATTGTTTAAAGAAAAGGAACTTTATTATGAAAATAAAAAAAAAATAAAGGAACCATCACGCTAAGGCAAAATTTATTGTCTGCCCACTTAAGGAAACTGCAGGTCTGTAGTAGAGAAAACAGAAATAGAGCGGCAGTTAGAAGGAATGGTATCCGGGGAGCTTGGTGTTGATAAGTGGTGAGGAGGTGTCACCGGTTTCCAGGCTGGGAGGAGCCGGCCCAATAGGGGGACTTCCTTGCTGTGGAGCCTGGCATTGACAAATCAAATGAACTTTGATTTGAATAGCTCCAGATAAATTATGGAATCACAGTAGAATTTTGAGCAGGGATATTTTATGAAGTATAATGGTTTCACAGAGTGTAAGGTATACTGGAGTACACAGAGGTGAGAAGGAGCCTCCAATTAAAGGGCAGTGAAATCTATGACCACCAATACAGACTGGGATGTTGATTAAAGGGGGGAGAGTCAAATTTAAGACATAACTGGGACAAATCAAAAACACGGCTAGTGAGAGTAGGGTATGTAGTCAGAAGTCGTGGTTGCAAGAGGTAGAAGCTGACTTCAGCTAACTTTGTTTTTTTACTACTTTCACTAAGCAGACAAACTGGACTCACTCTCACTCGAGGAGTGAGCCTCCTGATAGAAATGCTGAGCATCAGACATAACCACAACTGCAACCTGGGTGCATCGTGACATGAGCAGTTTTTAAGACCATTAGAATGTTAGAGCGACCGCTTGTAGAAAATAGGAGTGCAGAGTCCATGTAACCAGGATCTGGTATAGCTTTTCATTAATAATTTATGCCTAACATTGGTTATTACCTTTGTCAGGTCCCTTTGCTACTACACCAGAAGCAGGCATTAGCCTGGTTACTATGGCGGGAAAGCCAGAAACCACAGGGAGGGATTCTGGGTAAGTGTGGTACTATAGTTAAAAGCCAAGAATTATTGGTTACTTAGACATTGTTAAATGTATTGTTTTATTCAGTCTTTCCCTCACTCTATAAGCAGGTAATATGATTCTGCATTTTACATTGACGAAACTCAACCGTAGAAATGTTAAGAACTTGCACAAAAGTATATAGCTGCAGTAAAGAGAAGACTAACTGATTAAGCAAGGAGTAGTTTATTCTGTAGTGTCCCCCAGATACTCTAGAAGAAATAGAATGCCAGGCTGCAATCCTGTTTCCAGGAGAATCTGTGTTATAAACTGACCATGATATCTTTGCTATAAGCACTGGAGAAAACCAGTGCTATACCCAGGCTCAGTGATATGTATGTAGGACTCGGCATATAGTCATCCTTATGGATGTGACTTATTACAGATAGAGAATACAGATCAGAATCAGCAAAAAGGAAAAGGCACATAGGACATGACACAGGCTTTGAGAGTCTTCTCCAAGTGGAGTCACACAGGTTGCTTTCAGTTTCCAGCTGTGAGTTATAACAGCACTAGTGAAATGTTTCCAACCAGAGAAGTTTGTTGGAGACTTAGTTCTCAAAGTATTTACTGGGGGATGGGGCATAAGGGCATCTTCAGCCTGGCAGGTACCAAAATTCCAGATACCCAGAAAGAAAGCAGTGTTAGACATAAATGGTAGTGATTGTACAAATGGTTTAGGCAGAGTAAGCCACTCATCAGCTCCGACATAGTGAGAGCCCTGCATGAATTTGAGTTCCCAGGAAGCTATCAAGGTCCACATTTGCAAGCAGATGTTTGAATGATCAGCTGAAAGGCCTGCTCTGTTGACTTTTCAACACATTAGCAGTGCCAGAAATGAGTATAACTCATGCTGTGTTTTTCTTCTGCTCTGTCAGAATGATTGTTTTGAGTAAATGTGGAAGCCCGAGGTCTGGGCCTCAGCATCATGACCTGATAAAATTAGGAAGCAGTACTGTGTAGGGTGTGAAGAGTATATTAGTTTAGGTCCATGACGGTCCAGTGATGGAACCTAAGAAGTGTTAGGTTACAGCCTTCTTTGATGAGGAAAGTAACATGGAGGACTCTCTGGAGTCATATAAAAGCACTAGTAAACTAGGTGGTAGGACCTGTCTGCTGGACTTCATTGCTTTTGGAAGTAACACATTAAAATTCTATGCAACATCTTAAACTAAAAGAGGTATCATTCAGCATAGTGTTGGATAGGTAACAGTGTAGTATGGAGACTACAATAAAATCCAATATCATTACATGTTAATGTTACAAGAGTTAGTAAATGTCTGGCCTAGATTTCCAAGTCAGTAGCCAAAGGTGGGGTTCATTTTTACAAGGAAGATACAGGATCATGACAAGAATGATGCAGCAAAGAGAACTGAGACAGTTTGTCAATTCTTTGCCCCCAAGTAATTTGTTCCTTACTGTGTTTTTATTTTCCAGCGGATGATATGGGCTTAGGAAAAACTTTGACAATGATTGCGCTCATCCTGACCCAGAAGAATCAACAGAAAAGCAAAGAAAAAGACAAGGTGGCTGTGACGTGGATTTCCAAAAACGGTAGATGAAAGTATCTAATGCTATTTCCCAAATCCTGTGAACCAGCTGAGAGGGAACATTTTTAAGCTACCACAGGGACACCTTTGATTTGATTTAATTAATCTAGAAAACCAGTATTTGACAACTTTCCTATGGTATCTCTCTCTCTCTCTCTTTTTTTTTTTCTTTTTAGAGACAAGGTCTTGCTATGTAGTTCAGGCTGACCTTGAACTCCCTATGTAGCCCAGGCTGTTCTCAAACTTGCAGTGATCCTCCTGCCTCCACCTCTTGAGAGTTGGGATTATAGGTGTGTGCCACCAGACTGGCCTCATTTCTGATGCTGAGTATGTAGAGTATAAGTGATCAGTTTTTCTCTTCTAATGTAATGTAGCTTTGTCTGTAATTAGAAAAAAAGTATGGAATAAGTATAGTAATTATTATTTTTGTTGCTGTTGAGAATAAACTCCAGAGTAGATCCAAATTAACATATAATCTTTTTAAGGGAGATCTGTCACAAATTCACATTTTAGCATCCATATGGGAAACTTGTTTTCTAGGTTTCTGAAATTCCAGGTATTGATAGATAATGGATGATTTCAATCTTTTCTCAACCTATATATTTAAAATATAATTTATACATTCTTAAAAATTATAGGTATTCTGTGTAGATAACACCACATGTAAGTTGCCATGTACATTTCCTTCTCTGTTGGATAGATAGTTTAAGGCACTCTGCTCTCAGAACCTATAATGACCATTGTTCTATGGATCCTAAGCGGCACCTGGACATACAGATGAGGTGTGGTCGTTCCCGCACTATGTCACTCGATAGTTCCAGTGTGGTGTTTTTTTTTTTTTTTTAATTTTAAAAATAAAACAACACAATAACAAAAAATAAAAAGGATGATACAGAATTTAAAAACAAAATAATAGGAAATTAACACTAATATATTGCATATTGTTATATTCAAAGTGTTTGCTTACTTTATAAGAGGGTTTATGTGTTTTAATTGACACATAAAAATTTGTATTTAATGCTTTAATTAAGAAATATGTGAAGTGATTACTTTCAGAAAAGAATAATAATATTGCCCTATTAGGAATCAATTCAGAAGCTTTAGGAAATGATCTAGTTTCTAACCCGGCCACTCTGAAAGAGCATTGCCTTTTCAGACTAAGGTCACATGCTGCCTACTGTCTTTAGCCTCTTTCTGTCTGACTGGCTGGCTGATTGCTTGATTGATTGATGCTGGGAATTGAACCCAAGGCCTCAGCACTGACCTATATTGCCAGTCCTTTTTATTTTTGATTTTGACACAGGATCTTGCTGTATTGCTAAATTGCCTAGGCTAAGATCCATATTGTGATCCTCCTGCTTCAGCCTTGTATAGTACTGGGATAACCAGCAGGTTGCCACCATGCCTGACTTCTAACACTATTAAAGGAAAAAAGTAATTAAGTAATTTGGTTTATAAGACTTTCTCTTCCATTTCCTAGTCTATTGTCAGCTCTCTTTAGAAGTAAGAGCAATGGTTAAAAATATTAATTGAAGAAATAAAATCAGATTGAAGAAAAAGAGGTAATGCCCTAGCAAAGTTAAAGGCTATTTAATGAATATAACTAGATATTGATTTATTTATTTTTTCCCTTCAAGACTCTTCTGTCTATACTTCCCATGGAACACTAATTGTCTGTCCTGCTTCCCTGATCCATCATTGGAAGAATGAGGTAGAGAAACGTGTGAACAGCAGCAAACTAAAAATCTATCTCTATCATGGGCCAAACCGGAATCAGCATGCAAAAATGTAAGTGCGAAGGTGCTCTGGTCTTGGAGGTGCCCAGTGCCTAGGCTCAGGAGCTCTGGTGAATTTCCCACTTCCTGATTCTTCATTTGATGGGGCTAGTGACATGTGTGAAGACCAAAGGCAGATTTTCATTCTCATCACCAAACAGCCTTTTACTTTTACTAAGAGATGCATCTTGAGATCAAATGCTGTTCTTTTGCTATGTCCTTGTCATGGTCCACTACAAAACCCACATGTGAAAAGCCAGAGGCACCTGAGTTATGAGCCAGGTGACAGCAGCACTCCTGAGTGCTGGGATTACAGGTGTGAGCTACCACACCTGGCTTACAGCATGTATTTTTAAACCCATAGCTAAATTAATGGATTTACACAAACCCATTATAGTAGAGAGAAAGCATTACTGATGTAAGGTGAACTATGCTTTGAGGATTTCTTTCTTCTCTGAGATTTTAGTAATATCTCAAATCACTATTAAATATCAGTTCTCAGCCCTATCCTACTTTCTATTCTGGCCAGGTCATATCAAGTTAAATATGACCCCAGCCAGAGGTTTTGCTTTCTGGCTCATTGGATGGGAATACAGAGGCTGTTCTAGCTATCAGACTTAAAATGATCAGAGGAAGAAATGGGGAAGCCAAGTGGTAAAGTTTACTTTCTAAAATTGTGTGTGTGTATACACATACATGATGGACAGGACAAAAATCAAATCTCTCTGTAGAAACTAAGTAGATAAACCAACTAAATAGGTAAATTTTACCAGTAAAATTATGTGTGTGTGTTTATTAAGGACGTAAGTTAATCCTTTGTCTATCCTACCAGCCCTGTGCTATTTTACAAAGATATCAACTCTGTCTCTTCCAAGAACATAGAGGGATTGTTTACTGTGTTCTTTGTGTTGTGTCTGTGCAGCCTCTCTACATACGACATTGTGATTACTACTTATAGCCTTCTGGCCAAGGAAATTCCCACAAAGAAGCAGGAGAAAGATGTCCCAGGTGCAAACCTCAGTGTGGAGGTGAGGCTCTGGGGGTATTGGGGAGACCGAATTGGAATCACACATCGTCTAACAGGCATCTTTTGACATCCTCAGCAAGAGCTAAAGTACCTTTTTTAAAGTCAGAAATGCTCTAAGTGGTCTCCCTGTGGATATTCTTCAGTTGTTTCCTCTTGTTTTATCTCTCATCTCATCAGTCACCTCAGAGATGAAGGTTGATACTTGGTGCAGTGTTCAGCTGTCTTTTAGGACTAGAGTTTGCTACACTGCATTTGTAATGGTAATAATCACATAAGAAAACTATACTTGTTGCTATTTTTAGCATGAGTGTATGGCATATGTATACTCATGCCATTTTGCATATTGAGTGTGCAAACCAGTATTTTAGTACATAGTTTGGTATTAGACCATCATTCCTTGCCTCCTCTCTACTTCTTAGAAAAAAAAAAACTTTGCAAATACACTAAGTCCTCAAATTAGGAACATTTGAGTTACCGACTTTCTCAGGTGTGCTGTATAAGATTCACTTTGTCAGACTGTGAATGAATTCAATTTACAAACGTAATAGGATGACAGGCCAAAAGCTAACTAGTAACCATGAAAACCCAGAGTGTTTTTGGGCTTTATTGCATAATTATTGTGGGGATCCCCCTGCTATAAAAATACAGTATTATTCTAGGAACTAAGCTTGCATATAAATTTTTATTTTTAATGCAATAGGATATTAACAGATTTCTCTATTAGAGGAGACCTCTAGAATTTGGCCCCCAGTTCAAAGTTAACACTGACTTCTTATAAATGATGAACATCTCAAATTCTTTGATAATTGTCCATTGTTTTGAGGATAAACTCCAGATTCCTTTACATGGTGTATTAGGTGCATTATGATCCTGCCTAACCTGTGTGTCCTTCATCTCTCATCAACCTTTCCCTCCCTGTGGCACCTCATGCTCTGTCACACCAGTGGACTTTTGGTCTCTGTCATGCTCTGTCAGATATTTTGCCTTCTCTTGCTAAATGCAGTGTTTTGTAGCCACTTGCTTTTCCAGATTATTTTCTTCTTTTTTAACCTGCTTTGAGAAGTCTTTCTGGACTACTCCCTTACCACCGTTTGGTTGGGTGCCTCTTTTAGCACCTTGTGCTTGCTTATTCACAGCAACCCATTCAACAAATAGAGCACTCTCCTATATGTCAGATATCGTGGGTGCCACCGGGAAAAGGGCAGGTGGGGTCCCTCTGACATATATTGGATTATCAAGTATGACTTACTATAGGTATAATTGCAATTAAGTATTTCTTCATTGCTAGATTTTGAGCTTCTAGAGGGCAGGAATTGTCCTTTAGATCTGGCTTAGTATCTTCGATGTAAAAGTAGATTTCTAGTAAATTTAGTATTTTATTGCAGAAGTGAATTTGCAGGCTTATAACCATTGTAGAAATGTGGTTTGAAAGAATAAATGAAACCTCAAATCAGAAAAAACATTTTGCTTTTAGTTATCTTAAGCATAAGGATTGAAATTCTCAACCTGTTTATTGGAACCAGTTGAGAGGTTTTGCTCTTGATTTTTCAGCTCCATTCTGTATAACTGATCTAAGCAAACTGGAGCTTAAGAGTGGATCCTTAAAACTTGTTTGTTACACTTGTTTATCTCCTTGAAGATATGTACATATGTCTATACTGTTCTTGGATTCCCCTTATGTTTCTTCCAGGGCTTCTCAACACCTTTGCTCCAAATAGTCTGGGCTCGAATCATACTGGACGAAGCTCACAATGTGAAGAATCCCCGAGTACAGACGTCAATTGCCGTGTGCAAGCTGCAAGCTCGTGCCCGCTGGGCTGTCACTGGAACCCCCATTCAAAACAACCTGTTGGATATGTACTCACTGCTGAAGTGAGCAAGTGGAATTTTTGTGTAACTGAACCCTGGCTGTAACCCTTCATTATTATTTCTTATCTCACTGTAAAGCTCTGATGTGTACCAGATTATTTTGTGTAGCAGATGGCAAGCCTGTCAACCTTTAAAGGGCAAAAGAATTAATATTTATGAGAAAATATCTGTTGATTGACTGGCTGATAGAGGACTTTGATTATATCCAGCTTCTATATAAGCAAAAATGTAGGACAGATTGAGTTAAAGGAAGCAAAATCATCTTTCTTTCATCTAATGAATGTCTTGGGCTTTTGCTCCTTTAAAACATCTGGGCTAGGCTTAGGACTACAATTTATTTGAGGCAAACACAAGAAAATGTTGATTTTTAAAATATTTGCTTTTATTCAAAGTCAACCCATAAAAGAATATGGAATTTCTTTCCTAGCCTTTGAAGCTTCCAGAATAAATTCTAGCTATTGGTTATATGTCCTATTGTGACAATGTAGACATCGTTAATGAGGAAAGTCATATTTTAAAAATGTGGTGTCTATTATTGACATAGGGCCTTTTGATCTGTCTTGCAGAAATTTGCAGTGAAATTCACTTTTAAAAAATGATTGGATGACAGATATAACAGAAAATCTGATTTGTTTTCATCTTACGTCTTACTTTGAACCTTTGTTTTATTCTCTTCCATATTTCTTCTTCTCCACTCTGTGTCCTTCCCAACAAAAAAGATTTCTCCGCTGTTCTCCATTTGATGAGTTCAATCTGTGGAAAAGTCAGGTCGACAATGGTTCAAAGAAAGGAGGAGAGCGGTTAAGTATTTTAACCAAGAGCCTTTTGCTGAGGAGAACAAAAGACCAACTGGACTCCACTGGCAAACCCTTGGTAATCAAATTTATACCTGTCCGCAGGGGAGGCCAGGCAGGGGGATGACCGTGTGCTTTCGGGGTTGCTCAGCCATCTGTGGTATATCTCAGGAGCCTCTGAGCTTCCCGTCTTCCTGTGAAGAGGCCCCAGCTTTTGGTCCTCTGCCCCACATCATCAAGTCCTGTTGTACTGTGTGTTAGCACAGTATTATTTTTAGGAAAGTGTAAAAGTTGCTTTTGAGGGGTTCATTGCATTTGAGGAATTTGTTCTGTGGTATTCAATTCATTTTTACACCAGCTTCTTTTTATCCTTGTATTTCCAGGTGACCCTGCCCCAGCGTAAATTTCAGCTCCATCATTTAAAGCTTTCTGAAGATGAAGAGACAGTGTACAATGTCTTTTTTGCAAGATCAAGGTGTGTGCAATAAAGAAGCACATTCTCCCATGCACTGTTACTTTGTTCTCCTCTTTTCTTGCGAGTGAGTCAAGGGTCAGATTTCCTTAAATTATATTTGATCAGGCAGCCTATCACTGAAACCTAAAAAAGCTGTTTCTTTATTTTTCCCCTGAATTCTAGATTTTCTTTCTTTCACTTGCAGCCTCTTATTTCCAATGTAAATATGTTTTTTTGTTTGTTTTATTTGTTGATTTTTAAAATCAATTTTGTTTTTATAGTTATTCCGTTTGTATTACGTTTGGCCACTGCTTGCTATGAGCACAGAGCCATTGAAGAAGTCCACTTCTGCAGTCTGCCTAGGTGCCACTGCAAGCATAGTTGATCGGTAACCTGTGTAAACCTGTTTGGTCTTACTGATATTAAACATGCACTTTCTTTCTTGATCTGAGGCAGGTCAGCTCTGCAGTCCTATTTAAAAAGACAGGAAAATGGCGGAAACCAATCTGAAAGAAGCCCCGATAATCCATTCCATAGAGGTGAGCCAGGCATACTCCTAAGCAAACATCACTAATGAAAAACAGGGATTTGTACTCAGTAAAATGGCAGAAATGGAGAGTTATATATCATAAGTATAAGGAGTTAGACTTTAGCTAACAACCTCAAACCAGAATAAAATAAACACAAGATCTGATGATCTAAATTTCTTTTTGTTTCCTAAATCAGTCTACTTTTAAAAATACATGTAGGTATATAAGGAAAACCAGTATTTCATTTGATTTAGTTGTTGTGAAGTCTAGCAAAGTTACTGAATCTCAAACAAGTTTAAAATAGCTTCACTTAGTTCCTGATTTCCCCCAGATTTCTTTTTGTTAAATCCTGTCCTATTTCCTTTATCTCGTTTCTCGGAAGTGGCACGGGAATTTGGGTCCAGTGAGCATGGGTGCCTTGTGGCCACAGAGCTGCAGAAATCTAGCACTGTCCACATCCTGTCCCAGCTGCTGAGGCTCCGCCAGTGCTGCTGTCATCTTTCGTTACTGAAGTCGGTGAGAAGAAGCCTTAGTGTAGCACCATAATTTTAGTTGCTTGCAATTGAGGTCCAGTCTGCTGGATCAAGAGAAATGGTTTTGGGGAGTTTTATTTTTCTTTCTTTCTTTTTTTTTTTGTAGGGTAAATAAGAAGGGGCTTGTTTACTGTACTCTCTGTTAATCTCCTTAATCATGATGATTTCCATGGCATTGGGAGGAATGTACTTTTATTGTTTATTTTAAGTAAACTTTGTTTTAGAATGGGAAATGATATTTTGGTAGAAAGGAAACCACTTGTGAATGTTTTGATATTTCAGAATATAATGAAACTAATTTGGTTATTGTTGTCTAGTATTACAGTTTTTAGATCTAGATATGAGAACTCAAGTAGGTTTATAATTTGAAACGTTGCCTTTACATTGGATAGAGTCATCCAAAATTAAGAGGAGTGTTTATTTTAGGAGCTGCAGTAATGTATTTGGCTATCCATAGCTTAACTAACTGAATTGTTCTAGTAGGGGGGAAAAATAGAATGATCATGTAATCCATTTGGAAGCTCTCTTTAAAATTCTGTCATGTAGTTTGTCTTTATGATAATGAAAAAACTTGCACGATCATACATTAAGCATAATTTTTTTACTAAAGAGAAAGTACAAGACATTTTACTCTGTCAAATGTAAAGCAATCAGTCTCATCAGCAACTAATAAGGCTTATTGCCAGGACTGTCCAACTGCTCCTGTCCCTTTGCTATGTTCCCCCCAGGCCCTGGACCCGGCTGAACTGAAGAGTGAAGGCCTTGTCCTGTCCCTGGAGGAGCAGCTCAGTGCTATGACTTTGTCTGAGCTCCAGGACACAGAGCCATCTCCCACTGTTTCCCTTAATGGGACATACTTCAAGGTGGAGCTTTTTGAAGACACACGTGGGAGCACCAAGGTACCTTTGTCCCTCTGCTTTTAGTACAGAGCTTTGGTTTCTCATGCATTTTCCTGTGTTGGAGCCCTTCATTTGGTTGGTCAGATTCTCCCCCTAGTCCTTTTATAAGGCCTCCATTGTATCACAAAGAACACAAAAGCCTTTATTACACAGAAGTCTTTCAGAGTGATTTGTGACAGTTTTGCCATCAAGGTAGCCTTTCGGTTAACGGATTACTAGGAAGAAGGCCATCAGGTTTATGCTGGCCACGGTGCCTAAGCAAATAAGCAATTTGTTGAGGGAAAGCTTGAAAGGGAAACCACAAAAGCTGGACCCTAGAGACTGTGTAACACATGTGCGTGCCAGTTGTTTCTTCATGTTGAGGACTTCATCTGGGAGTATTGTTTCCTGTGCTTCCTTCTGTTTTCATTAGTCCTTCTGTTCCATTTCCATCAGAGCTTTTTAAGGCTGGGGAGTTCTATTAGAGGGAGCTGCACTAAGTGGTAACTTGAGTCCTGCCTTTCCATTGGCTTGGAATGTATTCCATTATCCTACATGCCCTGAAAGTGGGGCTTGTTTCTCTCTGTTAGGATCTTAAGCTGCCAGTCCTAGCCTCAGACTCTTTTTAGAGGCTTTTTTAAAAAACATAAACTAGAAAGGAGGTCACTGCTAAAGAAATAGAATTATTTAAAGAAAGAAATGCTTCATCTTAATGAAAATTTTAAAACATTTCCCTAGGTCTTTCCCACAAATAGCTGAGGCAGATACAGGAAAAGCCCCATATGTGGACAGAGTTTATGTTATGGAGCCTTCAGAGTTAGCTATTATATTAAAATTTTTATTTCTAAGACTTAGGTGTACCTTGTGTAACCATCAGATAATATTTATTCACAAGGCTTCTTAACAAAATCACCCCATTGATACTAGTTTCAACCATGTGAAGTTGTTTGCTAAGGGGAGGGAATGGTTTTACTGGAGTTTGACACCAGCTGATGGACTGTGAATCTAGCCTTCCCACTTCAGGATTCTCAAAATCCCTTTTTCCAGCTCTCTCATGAGGGAGTCATGGCCCCTTCCACATCCTCAAGTAACCAGGACAGCAGGCACTTCAGGGTCTGTTCCATCGTTGACCAAAACAGGCAGATCTGCCTTTCTCCTGTTCAGTCCCGAGGTATTGCCCTTGTCCTGTAGATGCCAGCGTGTTTGCTAAGACTGGGATGTAAACTGATGTGCTGGAGCTCTGTGGGTTACTATTACAATAACAGCATCTGGAAGGTGGGAGCTTGGAACGTCTCAGAGTTTGTCTGCCTAAAGGTCCTCCGGACTGATATTCCAAGTGGAATAGCCACAGGAGCAGAGCAAGAACTATACTCATTCCCCAGAAGATTTCTGGACCAGTTTTCTTCCTGCTCCACCATCCTGGGATATGAGCTTTAGGCTCATAGATGATTTCAAAAGGTCTTTTTTCACTTTAGAGGAGTGAATCTAGCTGCTCACCAAAGTCATGCCCAAGTTGTTTTTGTTTTGTTTGTTCTGTTTTTCCTGGCTACAGCCATATGGACTTGAATGTATTTTCTGGATAAATATTCAGAGAGTTTGTTTGGAAACTTTTGCATTTGCTCCTCAGCCTCAGCAAGTATTCTATGCTGTTTGAAGCAGTCCTTAACTAGGTAAAGATCTTTTACTTTTTTCTGCAAATATTAGGATAGTACTTTATCCCGACACGTACTGAGAACGGAGTATAGAAATGAACCAGACACCTGCTACCTTGGACTTCTTGGAGCGTCTCCAGTCCAGATGATCCTTAAACAACCAACATCTCACACGATTAGGCTCCTGACAGTAAAAGCAAAAGGCACTGGAGTAGGGCATAGGCAGTGAGCTTCTAAATTGTACTTTGAGGGCTGGGGAGATCTTGAAATGTGACATTAAGCTGACATAGAAGGTGTTTCTAAAGTAAAGGGAACAGTGTAGACAGTGAAGAAGAAGAATTTTAGTGTGATTAAAGTGCTGTTTGAGGAGGGCATGGTTAGAAGTGAGCCAGTAGGAGTAAGTAGCAGTTCAGGCAATAATGACCCAGCTGGCTATTTTAAGGAGCTTGGGCCTCGTGTTCAGCAGAAAGCCACGGAAGGGGTTGCAGCTCAGGGAAGAAAGCGACAAACTTGTATTTTACAAGTAGGTTTCTGGCTGCAGCAGTAGAGGTGGAAAAGAGAAAGGTTAGTCTAGAAGCACAGTGCATCCAGGAGACAGCTTCAGAGAAGATGGAAAAGTGTGAGTTGCTTAAACTGCAACATTAATATCTCCTTTTTTCCAGATTTCATCTCTGTTGGCAGAATTGGAGACAATCCGAAAAGCTTCAGGGTCCCAAAAGAGGTAAGTGTGTTATTTCACTGTCCAAGCATGCTTATAATTAAGCAGGGGAATTTGCCATAGCTCGTACTTATAAGTCAAGGACTTTGAGTTAAACTCTGCAAAAAGCACTGAGGTTATAGTACAGCTTCTCCATAATTTCTCATTAAAATATTTCTGACACAGTTTGCAAAAAACATCCTTAAGGAATCGGGTAGGCGAGGAACCTGAAACAGTGTTTAAAGTGATGAATCATGTGACGAATGCTAGGGTGTGACAGGAAAGTCAGGGAGGGAGCTGCAGCAGTGCTATTGATGTGCCTGAGACGGGGTTCGTCTCTACCCATGTGATACTTTACATGTGTGTGACACATCTGCTTTCGTATGTATGAAGTTCTTTTCTAGAATTTTAAAGCTAATTAAAAATGTGATGTAGGGACACTGCTCTCTGGCTGTCACAGTGGGTGGCTGGTTTCCCTTTTTTTTTTTTTTTGGAGACAGGGTCTCACTATGTAGTACTGGCTGACTTAAATTCACTATGTAGCCCAGGCTGGCCTCAAACTCAAGGTGATCATCCTGCCTCAGCCTCCCAAGTGCTATGATTAGAGGCATACACCACCATGCTTGGCTATGGTATCCCTTTTCCACAGGACCACAGATCTCTGGATGAGCACTAGGCCTTCAAATACAAGGAGGCTGAAGCTGTTGCTTTAATCTCACCATTATTTGTTTCTCTTTTTGTTTAGCACAAGGTAAAAGTGTACTCTAGAAATCATTGGAAGTATTATAAATTCTTATAATGTTACCTAAATATGGCTTGTATTAGCTTCATTGCAGTATAATATGACAAAATAACTAACATAAGCCAGGAATGGTAACAAATAGCTTATAATCCCAGAATTCTGGGAGCCAGAGTCAGGAGAATCACAAGTTCAAGCCCAGACTATGCAACTTGGTGACTGTGAGACTGTGTCTCAAAGTTTGAAAGAAAATGACCGGGGATGCATGAGTAGCTCAGTGTGAAGGCCCTGTGTTCAACCGGCAGCACTACAAAAGCAAAACAAAACCATAAAGGCAGATTTAATTTGGTACCCATTCTGGAGGCCCACGTCCAAAGGGTGCACACCACTGTCACTAGCCCGGGACCAGGCTTTTCCTTTACACGTGAGGCTTTGGGGGCACTCATCCAAAACCTCAAGAGTGAGTTTTCCCCCTGTGTAGCAGGAGTCCTTTCCTTATTGGCATTTTCTAACTGATCTTCAGGTTAACAGGACATGAAAACTCTGCCTGTGAGTTTGTGTACTCCATTTTAGGGGTGGTTGTCATGTTATCCTCCTTTTCAGTGTCATTGTCTCTCAGTGGACCAGCATGCTGAAAGTTGTAGCCCTGCACCTTAAGAAGCAGGGCCTGACTTACGCCACCATCGATGGCTCTGTCAACCCCAAACAGAGAATGGACTTGGTGGAGGCATTTAACCACTCCGGGGACCCTCAGGTATGAGCTGACCCCAGCAGAGCTTTATCATTAAGAAAAAAATTGTTATTAATTTCACCGAGAACATTATTATAATACAGAAACTCGACTTAAACTTATTCACAGCCTTGATCCCTCCAAATGTTGATAATTCATTAGACAGTTACTGAGGCACTTATCACAGAGCACAAGTACTCTAAAGGGAATAAAAAATGAGGAGGGATGTAAATGAGGAGGGATTTGGGGCAGAGCTGGTTAGGACCAGGAGAATCTTTCTGGAGAAGGCAAACCTGGAAGGAAAGTGGAGGTTTTGATGAGGCAGCATGGAAGGAAATGGAAGAACAGTCATCTAATCATTGATAATATGGATTTTAAAAACATTAGTTGAGTGATTGACAGGAGAATTATTACAGCAATAGAGAGACAGGAACTGATGGAATATATAAAATCTGGTTAAAGGCAAGTTTATCGAGCTGACCGTGCCAGGGCTCTAAAATTACGGTATTCATATATTTTGGTGTGCAATCAGTTTTTGAGGTTGACTTCTAAAAAACTGAAATGTGAGAAGTTATTCAAAAGTGAGGCATGGGAGATGTCATCTTAATGTTTCCAAACATAGTAGCAGGAAAAAACTTGATAGGAATATGTTGCTTTCCTGTTCTGACATTGAGCTTGAACCTAAAACAAAAGAAAGATGCTGTCTTAGTTAGATTTTCATCACTATAACAAAAACTTTGGATAACCAGTTTATAAAAAAAAACAAGGTTTATTTTGGCTCCCTGTTTTAAATTTTTGAGGTCATGATTAATTGGCTCTGCTGATTTGGATCTGTGGCAAGGCAGCACATCATGGCAGGAGTACATGGCAAAGCAAAACTGCTCAAGTTGTAGCTAGGAAGTAAAAAAGAGAAAGAGAAAGAGCTGGGGTCCTGTTAGCCTCTTCAAGAGCATATTCCCAGTGACCTAAAGACCTCTCAATAGGCTCTGCATGTTAAAGGTTCCACAACCACCAATATGCCGTGCTGGGGCTTAACCTTTACTATGTAGACCTTTGAGAGACACTTAAGATCTAAACTGTACCAAATGTATTATGAGGCCAAGCTGTATAAAATTAATGGTATGTTTCTTTTTAAAGATTATGCTAATTTCTCTCTTGGCTGGAGGTGTTGGTCTAAATCTAATTGGAGGAAACCATCTTTTTCTTCTGGACATGCACTGGTAATGATTCTGAACTTTGCTTGAGTTATTACAGCGTATCAGGGAAACTGGGTGCTAGAGGGGCTGTGGGGACTGATTCTTATGTCAAGTGTGTACAACTTCTTATGGTGTTGCCTCAGTCGATATAGATACAGATATGGATATAGATATAGATGCAACTCTAAACAGGATATAAGGATGGTTGACATTCCTGGATTCCTAAGCGAATTCAAATGACTGCTTAAAATAGTTCATTCAGTTTGTTGTTAATTTAGCATGTTTCCATGGAAACTGGGAACATAGCTTTTCCTCAGGCTATGAGCTTATATCATGCATTTTTATCTGTTCTCAAGAAACCATATACCAGTCATATTTTTGAGATCTAAAGAATTTTAATCTTAGAAGCACTACTCTAAAAAGAAAGGCAAAGGACTTTTCTAATAGTGTCAGAAATTACTTAATATACAGCCTTTGGATTTGTTGTTTGGAATGCTACCACTACTGCCAGGAACATGACAGTGTCTGTCCTGGATGCAAGATGAGTGAGTTAATGTGTTATGAGGAGACAGACTCGTGTAAGTTGTCCCAGTTTCTGCTTTTCCATTTATGCCCATCAGAGACCGCTGCACAAGGCACTCCTTCTGGGGTTGCCTAATTTTCCAGGCAGCCCAGATTGGTACAAACAGATCAAGCTGTTCCTGTCTTCTTGGAGAATGCTTAAGACTTACGTGGGCCTCTGTTATATACAGGGGAATGAGGAAAGCATGGTAGGAATTATGCTATTTTCTGAGATGGAGAAATGTTACTCAAGATTTAAAGAGATAAGATGAGAAAAATGAAAATCCATACTAAAGTTAACAAATTAAGTCTGTTAGGTGATAGAATATTAAAAGTTGGAAAAGGTAAATACTAAGAACATTACCCAGCCCTCAAGTTTCTACGGAATGCTCTGAAGCCTACGAATAGAGGTAGCGAGCTTATCCAAGGTCGTGCAGCTAGCTAAGGAGTATATTTGACTATTGGTTTCCCCTCAATTACTTCTAGTTATCAACTGATAATAGTACTATGAGTTGTTCTTAGCAGTCTGACCCCGGTTTTTCACTAGCAGGCCAAGACTTTGGCACTAGCCTTTGTTAGGTCATTATAGCCTACAACATCAGTTGACAAACCTTTTCTGTAGATATCTAAGGCTTTGTGTAGGGCAAAGTTCTTTGTCACTTAGTCTTCAAGTGTGTGTGTGTGTGTGTGTGTGTTGCACTTTGTTTCTTAAACCGCTTTAAGAATACAGCAACTGTGTTTACCTGAAGAAGCATACTAACACAGGCTATGGCCTGGATTTGGCCCAAGGGCTATCGTTTGTCATCACATTTAGGATAGACCTTTTTATTTCTCCTCTAACAGGAATCCATCCCTTGAAGATCAAGCTTGTGACCGAATTTACCGAGTAGGGCAACAGAGAGATGTTGTCATACACAGGTAAGTAAAGTCCTCAAGGCCCTTTTCCAACTTCTGCTTTTGTTAAAACCTTTCTTGGGTAGTATTTTAATAGAATGTAAAGTATTTGGTAATCACTTGAGTAGCGATCTCCTAAGGGATACCCCCAGGTATATTGTGGTCTGGAAGCAAAACAAGCAGTGTGAGGTAACCATACAGATGGTTACGGCCAAGGAACTTGGTGTTTGGGGGGTTTTGTTGTTGTTGTTGCTTTTAATATTTATTATGACATAATTTCAGACTTACAGAAAGTTCCAAGAAGAACACCGAGAAGTTCCTGATTCTCGGGTGTATGTGTGTATGTGAATAAACTTTTTCTGAGAGAATAAGTTGTAGACACAATGTTTCTTTATCCCTAAGTAATTTAGTTACATTTCCTGATAAAAAGATTTTCTGTTACATATTGCACAGTAAAATTATCAAAATCGTGGTATTAACATCAATATAATACTATTACCTGATCACCAGACCTTATTCAATTTCATGATGTGCACTGCCCTTCACAGCAGAAGAAAAACCCAGGGGCCACAAGACACGCAGTTGTGAGTGACTTTGCCTCTTAATCTGGCACAGTGTCCCCATCTTTGTTTTCTTTTTATTTGTTTTGTTTTTTTGGTACCGGAGTCAAACTCATGATCTTGTGCTTACCTGACAGGCGCTTATGCCGCTAAGCTAAATCCCCAGCCCCTTTCTTGGTTTTCTGACACTGATTTTGTGAAGAGCACAAGCTTGCTATTTTGCACAGTGTTCCTTTACTTGGGAGCCTCTCATCTTTTTTTTTTTTTTTTTTTTTTTTTGTCTTTTTCATTTTTATCGGTACCAGGGATCGAACTCACGACTGCACACTTGCAAGGCAGGCACTTATGCCGCTGAGCTAAACCCCCAGCCCCCCGCCTCTCATCTTTTAACAGCAAGAAAACTTACCATACTGCTGAGTCTCCTCTTCCTGTGACCCTAGGTTTTCCCTTCCTTTTCATGACCAAGTTTCCTGAAGGATTTAGATACCACAGTGTGTGTTTTACTGTGTGAATTGGTGAATTGGCTTTCACCATTACTGTTCATTTAACCTACTCTTGATAAGGGGTACCCATGACTTCCAAAATTTGCCAAAGGCAGTGATGAGGTTAATTTTCCTCCTTAGGACTCTTCTCTGCTCATTCCATATATTCCTTCTTTAAAATTTCTAATCACTCCAGTAAATCCAAAATTAGTGTCTTTATTTCCACTGTCTCCTAACCTTGAGACAGAAATATCCAAATCTTGCCAAATATCTCAGTTACTCATGGATATTCACTCATTTGTGCACTCCGCTATAAAACAAAGACCTACTGAGCATGCTGTGTTAGCAAATGCAGTTGCATGTTCCAAGATCAAAATGCCACAAACTGAAATTGTTTCTTCCCACTATATCAAAATTACTAACCCTTCTATATTCATCGTCTTTGTGAAGTGTCCCTTTTTCTAACCCTGTAGCCAGAAGTTAGACTCTTTCCTCTTTGTCAGTCTTCGCCAAGTCCTCTAGTTGTATTTTCTGAATGATTCTGATAACCATCCCTTCTTCCCAGTGCCACTACCATCTCTCTTTCCAGCTTTTACTCTTTCCTGTCCTCTGCATCACTGACAGAGGGCTCTTCTTGAACAGTCGATCCTATTGTGAGGGTTCACTCAGATTCTTCAGTGGTTTCACTCTCTAGAGATATCACCTAAACATCTTAGCATGCATGTGCAGCCACTCGTGATCTGGTCCCTCCAGCCCCTTCCGCTTTTGCCTTTGGTGAAGTAGACTGATGACGTGATGGTCCTCTAATTTACCATGTTCTAACATCAGGCAGTAGTTTTACAATTTTCCTTTCCCCGGGATGCCCTCTCAGCTCTCCATCTGGCAATGCTGTGCTTATTCTCCAAGTCATACATTAAGAATTAACTCTTTAAAAAAAAATCCTTTAATGGGCATTTCTTTGAGCACCCTACAAAGATTTTCTCTATACTGGACATACTTCCAATATAGCACTTCTAGGTTTATTATTACTCTTGGTTTTTCATATCTCTTCTGTGTTTGTTTTCAGAACAAAACCATTCATCTCACTGTCCCAATACCTATCACATGTTATATAACAAGTACTTAACACTTGACTGAACATGAAATCTTTACATTTTTTATTAGTACGTGTTTGTAGTATATGTTTAACATTCTTTGTGGGGTCTTGGTATTTGTACAGAACACATCTTAATTTTTTTCCATCCCCTTCCCCTCCCTTTTCTCCCCTTCCCTTCATCTCTCCGTCCATCACTTGAGACAGATCCATCTTCCTGCATCCTGTTATCTTTTATTTTGCTCTTTATTTCTATATTGGATTTCTCATATAAGAGAAACCATGCAATATTTAAGCTTGTGTTCTGATTTATTTCACTTAATATTATGGTCTCAGGGTATATCCATTTAAAATTAATGTTTTTAAAAATACTGTTGAAAAATGAATGACAATAGTGCGCATGCTTAGTTTGAAAAAGCTGTTTTGAGTGTCACCTGGACAAGAAATAAGAGACTATTTGAACTAGCTCACATATTCCTGACAGAAACTTCATCTTTGACACTTTCTGACTATCAAGACGGAGCTTTTGGGAGGAAAGCTAAGTCTCTATAGTTTTTCTAGATAGGAATATCTTTTGCTTATTTTGAGGCTTTCCTAATTACACTAGCTTCCGAATGAAAAAAAAAGTCAGTCCGAGTCACATATTTTAAATGAACATTATATTTAATCAAGGCAGTTTGGATCTCCTAGGTTTGCAACTGATTCTGAGAAAACTTAAAGAAAACACATTAATACAATACAGTAGATGCTTGAATGTGCTGCTAGATAAGCTGCTTTGAGTTTCTGATAGGTTTTATTTATTTTTCAGATTTGTTTGTAAGGGGACAGTGGAAGAGAAGATCTTGCAACTTCAAGAAAAAAAGAAAGACTTAGCCAAACAAGTTCTATCAGGATCTGGAGAATCCTTCACCAAGCTAACCTTGGCTGACCTCAGAGTCCTTTTTGGCATCTAATCTCCTGTCTTTAAAGGCGCAGAAGAGTGCCATTGCTGATTTGAGTTAGCATCTGGGAAAAACACCTTTGCCATGATCCCTGAGCTCTGTTCTTGCCTTCTATTTCACGTAAAAACTTTACATATTCCTCAAAATGAGGCATAACTCATCTGTAGAAGTGAGGATGGGTTATTGTAAACATTTGGTTAATCAGTCAGCTTGCTTTGAGCAACATAGAAGCCAATCAGTTATTTCAGTCAGATAGACAACTTTGGCAAACTTGTACGTAAGCTTCAGCAAAGCTCGGAAAGCCCTGCATTGCCTTTCTTAGCTTAGCTGGCACAAGAACCCTTGTTACCACCTCCTCTGACATAGTTTCCTGCCTTGCTTGTCCTGTCATCTCTTCTTGGTCCTGTCAGCTTTCGAGTGAGCTGAGCAGAGTAGCTCCCGCAGCGCCATTCCTCTACAGTTGTCTCAATCCAGGCAGTTTTTTCTTTCAGGCCGCAGGTCAAGGGATCATTGTGCATAAACAGATGTTCAGTATTGTGTCATTACTTCATTTAGTATCAGAGTGTCATTTAGAGTATCATTATGTCACTTAGTAATGTATCATGGAGTGTATTAGTGTGAATATCGCTTAATCACTGTATCATTTAATAGTCGTACCATGTATCACAGCACATATCAGAGTATTTGGTACTGTGTTAATATTTATACCATATTTTAGTTACTGGTAAGCTTTCGTATTGTATCATTCAGAATTTATTGAATCATTTTGTGTTTGTGTCATCACTGTACAGTCTAATAAATATGCCTTTGACATTGTTGCAAAGATGAATGCAGTGTGTTCACCAGAACCCATTTTCTTTTCCTCTGGCCACCCAGAAGGACTACACACCCTCGACTTTGCTACAGTTAGATGTGCCCCTGTTACCGAATTCTCAGCAGTGGAAAGTGAAGAGAAGTGAAGTCAGGCATTTCTAGACTGCTCTCTACAACTTTCCAAATGGTTCTTCCCTGTTAAACCTGCTGGATCCAGAGGAATAATGGGAAATGACACGGCTTTAGAATAATGGTGAGCTACTAGGTCTTGAGTTCGTAACCTAAGTTTGGCCATAGATTCTTTTGTCAAACCTAGTTTTCCCCACTGCACTAATTCCTCAGGTCACCTGCACTGGACTGTGGCATGATCCAGAGATGATTTTTTGTTAAGCTACAGAGATTTGGAGGTGGTTAATATTGGCAGCTAATATCCTAACACAAAAACGTGAGACTTATTTTTCAGAAAACTAACAAAGTTTCCTTCTTTTGATTAGTAATTATCCCAAAAGTTACTCTGCTAATTTCCACTACAATTAATAGTTCTTCCTTGTTGGAGACCACTACAAAGCGGCTCTGAGCAGGATTTAAATTTAACTAATTGGCTTTCTATGTTTATCTGTGAGTCTGTCCTAGGCTTCGGCCCCTTGCCTGGCAACTGGAGCTGATTCATAGTAAGTGAACCTCTATGAATCACTGGTCCTGGCTGAGGCCTGTAGTGGCCTGTGAGGCCAGAGATACCTCAAAGGGCAAGATAAGGCCACAGCTGTGGACACTTGGCTCAAACATCAATTAGATAGGTAGAGACTGCAGCTGCAGAAATTATTCCTACAGTGTCACTCCTACCACATCTTCGTAAGACAGTGTTTCTGAATTGACATGTTTCATTACTTCGAGATGTTCTTAAAGTGATTCCCAAGGTCCTGCTCATTGCCTGCACTTTCCTCAGTTTCCCTGTTTCTTGTTGGAATAAAGTAGGTGGCCCAGAGAAGTCTTTGTTTTAGCCCTTGGAGTCTCAAGCTCAGCTAAAGGCTTTTGACCCTCCTGGAATCCTAAAACCGTATCACTTTGTCTCATTTTATTTAAACCTCTGCTGTACACTCGTTTGGGAGATCAGGGATCCTGGTCAAGGACCCGATACTTCCGGACAATATTTCTTCCTTTGAGCTGGGTAAAGAGACAAAACCTTTGTTAACCCAGGCACAGTGTAGACTGATTCACTGACGTCAGGCTAACGTTCATTGTAAGGATGAGATCTAAAGTTGTACAGAGGTAAAGACAGTGTGACCTGCTGAGAACCTCAACTTAGCTCTAATTTACACATTCACCTCAACGGGACTGTTGTAACCCAACTACTGGTTTTTGGACAAAATCATTAAGTTCTATGTTTTGGTTTCCTCATTTATAAGGTGGGCATGTTTTTAGAATTTAATAGCTAAAATAAAGTCCCTAATAAAATCTGGAAGTGCAAACAGTAACATTCCCCTTTTGGAGTTATAGGTCAGTATACCAAAGTGTAGAGTCACCAGAGAACCAATGGCTCCCAGGTCAACAGGAATGTACAAACCGTGCCTCTGCCACTAGCTCATTGTCATCCATTATTCTAGTTACAAATCAGGCGGATACTCAGCCTCTCATCTCTAAAACGGCAGACTCATATATCTCATGCTGCACTGGGAGTTTATTAAGTATACCTACTATCACCTGCCAAACAGTAATGTCAATTAGAAAGGTGTGAGATGACCACTGCCAGTGTAAATTCCAACGGCTCTCTTAGAGGAGAAATTCTTAACTTTGACTGTCAGATCCTTCCTGATAACTTTAAAAAAATTGATTTTCCTTGTGATGGTAAGCTAGCAAAGCCATCTAATTATGTGTACATGTTCCTAAAACAGTGGGATGGCACTGATATGTCAAGGATGGAGAAAAAGAAGGAGCCATTTCCCTGTTAGGATGGTGTATACCACACATATATCCTTAAACCCTAATTCTCAGATGCAAATGATTCACAGACTAAGTAGCAGTGTGATGTCTTATGTGACTCACGTCTGTTTTACTTGATGCAAATCATTTTCTTAAGGTCTGCATATGACAAAGTGTCTCAGTAACTTCTAGCAACGCACAATGTAAGTCACAATATAGTGATCTTGTGTGATCTATTTATGTACACTGGTGTTTCCTCCATTATCACTTGCTCGCTGAAAGGAGTCTTAGTAGGGCTCCAAGGTGAAGCCAGATTCTTCTGTACTGCTAGGATAATCATGGAACCACTGGTATTTGGAGTAGTCTCTCAGGCTATCTAAAATTTATGTCTACCCAAAAACGGTTTATGAAGAAGGATGTTTTACTGCTATTTGCTACATTGCATGTAGTCTTGGAAGAGTACAGGAAAAACCAAAAAGCATACCTATAGGCGCACACACACAAATAGAAATTTAGAATTCCTACATATAAAATCTAGATTAAAATGTTGGTGAAAATGAAATTAAGGTCCATTTTAACCTATTTTTGCCAAAGTTTGCAATTTTAAAATTTCTGCCTGAAATTCACATTTTCTAGAAAAATAAAGAACAAGTGTGTAAAAATTTTTATTGTTTCATTATTCTGTGCCATTCCAAAAAGCCACAGTAGACATAGAAGGATGAATATAGTGTTCCACAGGAGTCCGTAGCTGGAGGATGGAGATGAAAACAGCTGTCTAGCCTGGAGAGCAAACAGAGGCAACCTGTAGCTACATAATGTGTTTATTACCTTGGGTCTTTTTATCCCACATTGCATAGCTATTTCTGATTGTAGGTAGAAATTATGCATGAAAGGAAGGATGGGGGATGTCTTTCTTTTTAATTGTTGGAACAAAACTACTGACGTCTAAAAGTTAAAAGAAAGCGTTTTTTAGCTCATAGTTTGTAGAGGTTCTAGTCCATAGTTGGCTGGTTCTAAGTCAGGACAGCATGGCAGAGGGGCATCACAGTGTAGAAACAGTCCATGGCAGGTCAGCCCAGAAGACAGCAAGCCTCCTTTTCCCTTTATCTCATCTAGGCTACAAGCCTTTTGGGTGGCACCAGCCACACCTCTCGTAGGCTTCCCCTTTATCCATTCCATGAACTATGAAGAATCAATTGGTGAACTAATCCAGTACAACTACCCTTAATTCCAGTATCACACACCCTAGACATAACCACCTCTGAAAAGCTCTTCCTGTGAATGCATGAGGCTTTAGGAGGACAACTAGATATAAGCCATAGGGAGAATACTTGTATCGCTTAATTATTAATAAACTAGTTGAAAAATATATACCAAGCACTACTGTGTGCCAAGCACTTCTAGAAATACAGGGAAAACCAAAATCAAATATGGTCCCTAACCCTAACCATAGAGCAGACAGGCATGAATCTGTGCCATGAAGACTAGTGCTATGGAATGGCATTATAGGTAGGTGGGCAACTGTACCAATCCTAACACAAAGTATGCATGCTCTGAAGTACAGTTGAACAACTGCATTTTAGAGAACAGGTGGGCTAAGAGGTATATGTGTATGTTTATTATCTAAGACAACCAAGATGTTTATCCTGTTACACCATCCCTGAGGATGGAGGTTCTCACTGTGGTTCTTTACTTGCCAATAACACCAGCAGCACATGTTACATCATAGTGCTACATCTTGATGCATCCATGCTCACAACTTTAAGACAATTTCTGAAGGACTCCATTACCCTGGGAGAATTCTTAAATCCTCCCCTTCCCCATCACCTTTTTCTCACCTTGAAGACATGAACTCTGTAGGTCAACTTTACCAGATCTTTCAGGCATCAGAACAGTTGGATTAAACTGGATTAAGACTCCATTACTGTGCCAGCCAAGGAACAGCTTCTCCCCTTGACATGCACACAGACTTTAAATGCTTTCAACAGCATTATGTTACCATTAATACTGCTTAAACTCCAAGGCATTAGCCAGAATTAGAATGTCTTAGATATTTTCCGTTACTTTATCTATAGTAGTTTCCAGTTACTAAAATCTTTTCTAACTGAAACAAACAGTAAGCTTTTTATAAGGCTTGGCAATTTTATTCATAAAAACACACAGGGGAAAAGATGATGTAATACAGTAGGTTTCTTCCTGGCAAGCAATTCCCTAGGTGTCTGAGGTAACTGGAAAATTCGAGACTAGTCCCTCGGGTGCATGTGATTTGTGCAACGTGTTTGAGATGGCTGGGATTTGTTGCCCAAATGATTTCTGGTTAAATGAAAAATACTGGGGTTTGTGAGAAAGTCAGTCTTATGAAAATGAATACAGGTAGATCCAAGCTAAAAATTCTTCCAATTAGATCTTTATTCATTCAACATATTAAAGTCTGCTATGTGCCAAGAAATGTCCTACACAGGGTTAATGTAGTAGTTATTAAATGTCAAATTCCAGCCCTCCTAGAGCTTACAGTCTCGAAAGGACTGACACTAAACAGATTACATATACTAGTGGTGATGGAGACCAGGCAGGGTGATACCGAGCTCTGGAGTGGTATGCTGCAGGAACCCTCTGATAGGATGACAGTTGGCACTGAACAGAAAGCTGAAGAAAGCAGGCAGTGAATTATGAAAGTAGCTGAGAGATGTGCATTTCAAAGTGATTATAAAGGCCCTACGATGGAGTAGCTGGAGTCCGAGAAGGACCAGGCAGGCCAGTTTGGCTGAAACAGCAGTGGAGGTGGATAGGAAATGGGAGAAAAGCAGGCGTCCAGATCATGCTGGTCATACATGCTGATGTGGAGCTGGTCATTGACTTGTGTTTCATTGAGAGACGGGAGGATTTTAAGTAGAGGGCTGATAAGATCTGACATATTTTGAAGGACTATTGGGTGAAGAATGTAGTGTGAGAAATAAGGTAGGGACATAGAGATGAGTTAGAAGAGGGTTGCAAAACTTCACATGAGAACAGGATGATAGCAATGGAGGGGACACCACTGGTCAGCAGATAGAGTCTGAAAGCAGCACTGATAGGATTTGCCCATGGATTTGCATATGTGTTTTTTTTTTGTTTTGTTTTGTTTTTGTTTTTTGTCTTTTTCCTTTTTATCGGTACCGGGGATCGAACTCACGACTGCCTGCTTGCAAGGCAGGTGCTTATGCCGCTGAGCTAAACCTCAAGCCCCTGGATTTGCATATGTGTGACAGAGGTTTTAAGCATGTTTCCTATACTCCTCCATCTCTAAGAAAGTAATTATGCTTTCCTTTTAAAGAGAAGATGACTGCAGGGGAAGCATTTGGTGGTTGTGAGCAAACAGAAGTGAGAGCTGGAAACTGAGTCTGTGCTGGACATCTTCAATTTCAGGTGCCTGTTACACATACAAGGGAAGATGCTAGGCTATTGGACAGAATACTATGGAGACTAGACCTAGAGGTAAATTTGGGAGTCATTAGTGTATAAATAGCATTTAAAGTCAGGGTAAGATCAGGTCATCTAGAAAGCATGGAAAAAACAAATGCAAAACCTGACCCTTGGCTCCCTCTGATATGTAGAAAATAGGAAGGAACAATGCGACAGGAGAATTAAGAAGAGTGATCCCACATAAAACAAATGAAGACAATGGTTCAGGGAGGAAGAAGGGAGGCTCTGTTAAATGTCAGTGATAGGCCAAAGAGGAAAATGACTGAGAAGTTAGCCAACCATGGTGGTGCACTCCTATAATCCTAGCACTTGGGAGGCTGAGGCAGGAGCATCATTTGCAAATTCGAGACCAGCCTGGGCTACAAAGAAAGACAAACAAACAAAAAAAAAGACTGAGAAATAACATTGGATGGTGACCTTGAAAGAATGACTTGAGTCCTGAGGACAATAGACTGATGGGATGAGATTTCATCAGGAATGTAAGGAGGGCTCTAAAGAGAGCAAACTACAGATCTTAAAACATCAGAGAAATTGAGTGCTAAAGGGATATATAAAATTGTTATGACGAAGTATATACCCCAAAGTTGAAGCCCTTATCCCCAATATATCTGAAAAATGGGTCTTTAACAAGGTAAATAAAGGTTAAATGGGGCCTTAATACAATACAGCTGTAGGTGTCCTTAGAAGAGGAAGAGATATCAAAACCATATGCGCACCGGGGAAAGGTTAAGTGAGAATGTGGTGGGAAGGCTGCCATGTATCATCCACAGAGAGGGGCCTCGTCAAACCAATCCTGCCAGCACCTTATCTTGGACTTTGAAAAATCAATGATCAAGGGAGATTGTATGCAACAGCAATTGTGATGGTCTATACAAATTAAGTCAGAAAGATGGAGGGAAGAGAGGATGGGAAAGAGAAACAGTAAGAAGGGCACAAAGTCATTGCATTACGGGTTCCAAAGAAGTGGATGAATTAGTAGTCAGGTTATTTACTCTGGATAAGCTGGCAAGACAGAAAGAAGCCCGTGGTTATAGGGTGCTTGAAATAGACAAATCAGAAGGTAAGGATGGAATCAAGGTTGACAATACCTTGATTGATCAAACCAAGGTTGATCATACAAGTTAGGGGAAAAAAAGGACACTGGAGAACTGATCACAGAACTAAAAAGTCTAGCTGGGCACTGAATTATTTGAAAACTGATGAAGAGCAGCAGTGGAGTGATAGCAAGCTTGCTCCTACAATCTTCAAAGACTGAAGCTTTGTAGATGGTTGAACCATGTATAAGTAGCAAACTACTGTTTAAAAGCATGAGTTTCAAAGCAGGTCATATTAGAACAGCAATAGGAATAATGGTCTAGCAGATGGTTTCTTAATAGTGGTACTACTGATGTCTTCAACTGAATAATTCTTTAAGAAATGTCCTGAGCCTTGTAGAAAGTTTAGTATACATCCCTGCCTATACCCACTAGATACTACTAGCAAACAAAACTGTCTCTAAGACTTTGCTAGATGTCATTTGGGAGCCTGGGGAGGCAGTGGAGCAAATCACTCCTGGTTGAGAATCACATTCTTAAAGCAGCAATGATGAGCTAAAAGGGCCCCGTGATGTAAGGGCCCAGAGAAATAGCTCGGTGGTAATGGGGGCAGCAACGTTGTCTGGGAAGATGAGATTTTTGGTTACAGAAAGAGACTGAAGGGGATGCCTCCAGAAAAAGGATGAGAATATAGACAATATCTCAGTGTTATGGCTCCAGTGTAGCCCACATCTGTCAGCCTCAAAGAGGAAATCTATTCCATGATGATGTGACAGTCAGAATCTCATTACTTCACTCCCTTTGCCTGACCTAACTCATCTCTCAAATGAGTTACCCACTACTTAAGGGATCTAACAATACAAATTTCAGTAATTTTATTTAATCCACGCTGAGTTTACTACTACTTAAGAAATTAGGAGTCCCAGAATAACACGCAAAATAATATAAAGAGAAGACTTTGGTAGGACTGAGTACCAGTGCAGTGTAAGTCTTCTCCCCAGAATTCTCTAGCAGCTAACAAGGCACCGCGTAAATATCAAAGGTGCTAGTTAAGTTTCTGGATATATAGACAAAAACAAAGATTACACTTTAAAAACCAAAGAGAGGTAAGGAGAGTGAAATTATGTAGATCATTCAGTATGAGAACTGCGATAGATGTATAAGATCCATCTCATTGTCCCTCCCTTTTGTTAGCTTTCTACTTGTGTGCCTCTGCCACATAGCGACTAGGGTATGACGCAGAGGATGACTATGATGTATAAGGAAGGAGGGGCCACCCACTGAAACATCACCGTCACATTAAAACAGTCACAAACATGCATCAGTAAATCCACTGAAATGCAGTAGCAAAAAAGGGAGGTTTTCATTAGTATGTAGCACAGGGATACTTTTTTTTTTTTTTTGAGGCTGGATCTTGCTGTGTGGTGCAGGCTGGTCTTGAACTCACTTATGTAGCCCAAGCTGGCCTCAACTCATGGCAAGTCTCCTGCTTCAGCCTCCTGAGTGCTGGGATTACAGGGGTGTACTATCATGCTCAGCAGCGATAAATTTAAAAGGTTAAAAAAATATATCAGAAAGTAAGAAAATAAATTACTACACCCACTATGACCTCTAATTTCCAATGGCGTAGACACTTCCATACCTGTATAAAATAGAAATGGGTCTCCTATGGTATAGAAAGAACACTGCCTACCTTCCTTTAGGAGAAATGTGTGCTCAACTATCACAAGGACACCCAGTTAGTAACTCACAGAACAGCAATTGAATTCTAGTGTAAGATAAGGCACTTCATTTTTAATTTTATCAGTCTTCAGAATCAATGAGGCTCTGGGGTCCTCTGGAAATCTGCAGCTTTACCAGGGTGATCTCAGGCGCAGGAGACCATCACAGTGCCACAGTTCTTAGCAGACTCCTTGGTGTGTTCTGCCCACTTGTGCATGTGCATTCAGACTTCTCAGTAAACTTCCCACAGCAAGACCAGTGGGGACGACCTGGGTGGCCTTTGTGCCCATGGCCACAGCCTAGGTATCCACCTGCATAGTAAGAAAAGAGAAAAACAATTCTAGGAGTAGATTCTAGCCGTCACCATGGAAATTGTCTCTTCTTAACATTGGGACTCACGGGAATGAAATATCCAAGCAAAACTCCAGAGGAACAAGCTATCTGACTTCATCCGTCAGGAGGACTCTCAAGACTGATCACAGCAAATCAGCTAAGCGTACCCAAACTCTCAGTGGTAAAATGTACTAACTGAATTAGATGAGCTAGTCTTTACTTTCACTGTAAGATGAACTGGTTTGGATTTATAAAATGATTGAAATGAAAATGAAGGGTAGATGAACAGAAACGAAAAAGAGGCAGATCCTGAAGTGGTTTTTGGAAGGTACAAAAGCTTGTTATAGCCTACCATTAGGGTGAGGACAAGGTAGAATATTTAAAAAATAATTGGATCCCTTGCCTGAGTTTCCACCTTCCCCTCAAAGAGCCAGAGCTGGTTTAATCAGCTCAATCATTCCTGCTTCATTTGGAGTTTCTTTAAAGTTTTTAAAGAGATACAATGGGTCTACATTCTTCACACGGCTCAGCCTGCTGAAAGGGTACCCAACGAGACTAAGAGTCCCACAGAGAAGCGCGGGGCTCACAGGATTGCTTAACTCTATCAAAAGTCCTCAGAACTTTTCAGCTTGCCATTTCAGTTCAGAATAAAGCTGCTTTCTTTTTTTTAATCATGTCTCTATACATAGACAGAGACACTTCCTAGAACAAAGCCTCAGTCCAGACAGCTTAAACTAGAGGCTGCGTGGCAGTGGAGAGGACTGCCGCTCGGATCTTGCTGCTGGCAGAGAGGGCCGAGAGTAGGAAGGTTCCTCCTTACCTGGCATGGTGCCTCCACAGGCACAGCGTGCAGTTTTCCGGCCTCCGCTGGAGCAGAAAGTGCAGCAATGAAAAACTCCTGGGTGTGGGCGGTGCTTCCTCCTCACGGTCACCGTGAAGGGGGAGCCCTTTAAAGCAAGGAACAACACCTTGAGTCGGCGGGCTGTGCAGAGCATGGATACAGGCTAGACAGTCTAAATCCCGGGGCCTGCCTTTGGTGACACAAGGGTAGCAGGGGAAGAACTCTCAGCTGGGTGGGAGCGGACACCACCACAAAGACACTGGAACCAAGGAGGCAACACTGCCCTTCTGCCATGCTTTTCACCACAATGCAACTGACCCCCTGCACACTAAGTATGTCCCACGTGGCCAAGTCCATTTTCAGCGAGCCTTGTTCCAGCAAGAGGTCAGAAAGACAGAAAGGCCATGCCACCACCTTAAGTTTTTTCTCAAGCTGCTTCTTACTGGATTCTGCCTCCTTTGCCTTGCATGGAGTGAAAAGTATGTAGACTGATACATTAGCTATCTCAATTTGTACTTTCAAACTGTCATTTTTTTTTTTGGTACTAGGGATCGAACTCATGACCTCACACTTGTCCGGCAAATGCCTGAGCCACTGAGCTAAAGCCCCAGCTCAATTTCTACTTTCATGTGACTGACTTTGATCTTTAGAATTCTGAATTTCAATTCTTGAAGAATCTCAGAGGGGCCTTAGTAGACTGTCACAATCACAAGGCCCCGATTTCTCAGCCACAGACTGCCTTTTCTCATGACTGAGCTAGCCTCTTTTCTCCTGTCCCTGCATCCTGACACATCTGAAACCAATCACTTCTGAGACTGTGAAGAAACGTGGAAGGTTAAGTGTGTGTAGTTAATCATTCTCAGATTAGTAACTCTTCCAAATGTCCCCTTTTCTTCACGGATAATTTTTATTTTCTGATTTTCATCCTAACTTTCATTCATGAACGTAGCACGGCTATCCCTATGGAAGAGCTACATCACCTGAAAAACAGAAAATAGACAGCATGGTATCTTAGGTACCTTTCCAGTGTTAAATTCCCCTCCTTTTAAAGAATAACTATAAATGGAAACCTTTGAAAACATTATCTAAAATAAACCTTTCTTCCTTCTTTAATACCCCAGTATTTTATCACAGTAATAAAAAGTTGACTGCCACAGAATTCATTAAAACCAACTTGGAATTCAAAGAAATAGATTCAAATTCTAATTCTGCTACAGAGCTACTACATACGCTAGTCAGTGATCCCTGTGCTTGAGTGTTCTGAAGAAGACTGAACTAACTGGTCGAGGTGATGTATGCCTGTAATCCCAGCACGCAGAGGTCTGAAGCAGGAGGACTGCCAAAAATTAGAGGCTAGTGTGGGCTTACACAGAGAGAATTCAAGGCTAGTTTGAACTATAAAGGAAGACCTTATCTCAAACAAAAAAAACTGAACTAAGGTATACAAAAACACCTAACTTGTTCCTCATATACTATAAGGTAAGAAATAAATAGCTATTGAATAACTTTTCCTAGTGAAGACCACAAGCCCAACATACCATGATGCTCCATGACATTCTCTCATCAGGGTTGGCATTTGGTTAAGGAAACCTCTGACTATTCCAGTGTCAACAGATGTCAGCACAAAGACTATTACCCAGTTTTCAAAGCTTCATAAGCCAGAAAGTGTTGTACATATCTTTGGAGGTAACAATAGTTACCATGGTAAAAGACAAGCCCATATGTAACGTAGACATGAGAGTTACATGGGCAGACGGTCAGGCAGACCATTGAGGGGAGGAGGAGTAACCCTAACCCTGCCAATGTCCATGCCCATTAGTCTGAACAAAGCTGGAGATCCCTGAGTTACATTAAGTTTCTTGAATGTGCATGCTTTCTGCTGGTGGACTGCTCCCTGTGATCAAGGCATCTCAGTTTAGAGAAGATTCCAACAACCTGACTGGGAGAATGACAAAATACAAGTTAACTGCCAGCAAATGAAACTTGCTGGGCGAAAGAAAGTTCTCATGATCACTAGTGTCCTCCAGCAAAAACAAGACTGGCAAAATCTGAGCTGTTCCGATGGTGAAGAGAAGAAAAAAGAAAATCCTATCCAATCTCCCTGCAGCCAGTCCTGGAAAAAGTGTCTCCAGATCCTAAGAGGACAGAAAAGCGTGGCTGCGCTGAAAGGACCTCTACACTGAGAAGGCAGACACATTTGTAAAAAAACACAAAATACAGCCAGACTTGGATTTAAGACTCAGTTCTGTCACACACTTAGCAAGCTGGGACTTTGGCGAACTGACAAAATATCCTGAGCTACGGTTCCTCAATTAATAAATGGAATACTCCCTGGCTTTGCATAGGAGTCACAGTAATCAAATGAGATCTAGAATAAGACCTTTGATGTCATACTCATCCTCTTGTTTCAGCACCTAGTACAATTATTTACCACATAAATGATAAATAGCTGAAGGAAACTATAATGTGTTTTGAAAATTGAAGAGGACCATGCAAATCGTTATTGCTATGATTACTAGATATTATGTTAGGCTAATGGGAGTAACTACTGTTCTAAAATGTTATTGTATTGTACATTATTTTTACTTTTGATGGTATTTGAGAAAGCCTCTCTTTTGATCTGCCCAAGTAATGTCTTGTGTTGCATTCTTAAGCCACAACACGTGGGGTGCCCCGTCTTTACCTATGAGCCTGACAGCAAAAGTGGCAGAGATTGGCTTTGCAGGTCTGACACCTCTTCTCCACTTCCCTGTCGCTGCACAGGTCACACACCAGGCCCTGGCCTTCCCCGCGCAGACTCTCCAGCATCACATCATTCAGGGCCAAGTGGTCGATGGTTAAAGCCTTCACTCCACCCATGGGCAGGTCCACCTGAGCATCACATACCGGACACAGGATGCCGATCTGCCGCTGAAGATTCTGAGGCTTGTGTTCCTGGAACACTGAGCCTTCAGAGCTTGTGTCAGAGTCTGCCCCTCGGAGGTCCACTACTGAGAAAGGTTCCAGCTTCTCCAGACAACTGGTGCAAACTGTGTGCAAACAAGGCAAGAGTCTGGGGGCTTTGAAAAGCCCCATGCACAGAGGGCAGTGAGTCTTCCCTGAGTTCGCAGGTGCAGGCCCACTTGGGAGTTTGTGCATGAAGCCCAGAAGCGGCTTCTTGTTTTCTGACATATCCCCCCACGTTGGTGCCCACTACCAGAAAAGGCCTTGGACAGTTCTATAGTGCAGTCGCTAATTAACCTCACCCAAAGGCAAAGCTTCCAGAACTTGAATAGAGACCATGAGGACTCTGTTGTTGGCAAACAAAAGGGCAAATGAGAAGAAGGTGCCTCCAAGGAATCATTCACAGATCTACTCAGCATCTGTGGTAGGCCCCCTTCCTTTCCCCGGCATCCCATACCAGACGCGCTCACTCCTCCTGTCCCCCAAATCCACCCTGGATGCGCCTCCTTAGCTAGTCTTCCCAACTCCTTGACCCCTGCATCTCACGCTCTCAATGGCTATCCCCCCCCCCCCCAACTGGTCTCGCCCCAGACACGCGACAAGCGCCAGCCCCGCCCCTGTGCGATGAGGCAAGTGGTCCTCCAGCTCCTTCCCTTTCAACAGGGCGTGCAGTAAAGAGCTGCGAGGCCCCTACGGCTGCTCCGCGGCCTCAACCTCCCCGCCGCCGTCTCAGCTGTAGCCCTTCCTCACACCAATCCCGGCCGGCTCGGCTCCTGACAGTCCAATCACCGTCCGAGAGGGGAGGTTCTCGCCGCTGGCCGCACCGCCTTTTGGAGTGACGCCATTACTACCCAATAAGATTGGGAAGTTCCACAGCCATTCACACTATTGGAGAAGAGGGTGAAAGACCAAAGTAAGTGTCGGAGGCGGGGCGAGGGAAAGAGGAAGGAGTGGTACAGTATATCCAGCGTTACCATTTTACGAAGACTATCTCTGTATTCCTGGAAACCAGGGAAGCCTTAGGATCAAAAATCCGCGCTGCTGTTTCCAGGGGAGGGCTTCTATTCCGCTCTCGGATTGGTCCACGGTCTCAGACTGGCCTCTCACAGCGGTGTTTGTCGCTGTCCGTACACTCCTGCGCTTCGTGTCCGGGAGCCTGTAGGGTCCTGGGAGTTGTAGTTCAGTATTTTCCTGGTCCTGGAGACCTCTGCCGCATGGCAGAAGTTTTTTCTCTAGCAACAGAGTTGGCGAGAGGATTCCTTTCCTGTTCTTCCGGTCTTACTTCAGTTCCGGAATCCCTTAGGTCTAACATGTAGCTTACTACGGTCCCGCGACTTGTTACCTTCTGGAATTTCCTGAGGGCAAGTGCACTTTCATGGTTCCCTGATTCTGGGGACCATGAAGTAGCCCGAGCTAGGAGGTGGGAACTGGGACTCTTGATGCCTGGCGCGAGAGAAATCTTTGTTGCATCCGTTCGGACGAGTGTGTATATGATCAAAGGAATTAAATATTTGTCACCTGGAATTGTACTGTTATCACTAACGAAAATAAATAGAGCAAGTTTGGCCACTGGTTTTGGTGTTTGGATCCGGGGTCGAACCCTGGGCCTTTTGGAGAGCTAAGCAAGGAGTCTAACACTGAGCTGGCCCCTCTGTGCTGGGCTCAGTTTTATCTGTCAGTCAACGGGCTCCTGACTGGTCACAATGGAGGATGTCGCTGAGAGGCAAGCCTTTGGGTCACCAATTAGGAAGATGGACACACCTGGCACACTTAGCGTTATAATTTCCTTGTTGTCGTGTACTGGCCTGTCCTTAACAGGAGTCTCTGATTCAGTTATACGAGGCTTTGCTGCGCCTAGAATCTGGGATCCTGAGTTCCACAATTACAAAAAGAGTTACCTCTGCCTCTCTCCTGTGACAGTCTCTCAACATTTGCTGTTTATGAGCTTGCCTACTTGATTTGGAACCACAGACAATTGTTTTATTCCTTACACTATATAATCCACACTATAGGCATAGTACCTGACCATAAACTTTTAAAAATATGGAATGGCTCCAGAATACGAAAAGAAAGTTATAAAATAAAATGGGTGAACTGGCTGGATATTTCTAAAGTATTGCATGTTTAGTCTTGGGGTATAACTCAGTGGTAGAGTAATTACCTAGCATGGGTGAAGTTTTGGGCTCAACCTCAGCATTGCAAAAAAGAAGGGGCAAGTGAAGAAAGATCTGGTCTGACTGGCTTTCTTTGTGAGGAATCAAAATCTAGTTCTAGCTGCAGCATAAGTAAAATATAGCATATCAATGACTCAAAGCCACTTTTATATAAAAGTAAATTACACGTAATTTCTAAGTGTAAGTTTGCTTACAAAGGTCTTAAAATAGTCCTTACCTAGATTTCTTCAGCGTCTGTCTTGTCCTCCAGGTTTACCCTGGCTTTGAATCTGCTCTGTTTACTTCACTCTGCTGGAATAACTCACCAAAAGCTATAGGGCCTTGAGTTTGGTACATATTCTTGCTCTGAGCTTCACCTCTATCTTCCCTATGCTTTCCTTCATCTCTTATTCATGCTGTATCATATTACCTAAGACAAGTGTGTCAGACTTCTTTTGTTTAAGAAGTGCTTTATAATTAATGTGTGCATTACTTCATTTAATCTTCTAATCACTTTTATGAATCTCAAAGAGATTTGATGGCTAGCTCAAGGGAATGTATCTGGACTTAAAGAGAGTCATATGATATCATGTCTAAGACTACACCTGCAACCTCTTTATTTTTCTGTCTTGAATTCTTAAGCATTAAATTTCTCACACAGGCCCTAACTACCTAACTGAGGGCGAGGATGGGCTATCCAGAGAATTCTTTCACCTTTTGACTTAAAAATCTGATTCTTCGTTCTTCTCTTTCATACTTTCATACTTCTTCTGATAGACTTCTTTCAGTTAGCTGCTCAATATTTTTGTTCTTAGGCTGGGGATATAGCTCAGCAGCACAGTGCCTGCCTGGGAAGCACAAGGTTCCTGAGTTTGATTCCTAGTACAAAAAAAAAAAAAAAGACTTTTATTCTTTATCCCAACCCCATCTGCTTCCATACAACCTTGCCTTGCCTATGTTTTCAGTGTGTCACTTATTAATGTGTTTTTTCTGCCAAGAGTCATCAAATCCTGAAGGAGGAAACAAATCCTCCCTTAACTCAGCTTCCTTTCAACTTAATTAACTTTTGCAGGCCTAACCACCATATTTCTTAAGATTAATTCCACTCTCTGCTTTTATCAAATCTTCTCAATATCGCCACCACCATTCATTTATTCCTTTTTTCCTGTTGAAATTTTTCTCTCGTAAGTCATGAGTGACTATGTTGCTGGACTAGTCTCAATATATAATCTCTTTAGTGTTTCCATTATTATGTACTTCATTATCCTTAAAACTTGCTCCCTCTTTGCTTCTGTAATATTCAGCTGTCCTGTCTTACAATCTGTTGCACATTCTCCTTGATTACCTCTGCTCTTCTCCATGTTTATCCTCCACCCCCTCCCACATTTCCTTTAATGCAGTTGATTCTCAAATTCACACTTGAGTAATGATCTGTCTTCCAATTTTGTTTTCAAACACCTGTTATAAATCTGTTCCTAAATATATCCCCATCATCTTAAGGTCAAATATGCACTAAACTTTGTTAAACTTCTTTGCTTATTAAATTATGCTCTCTGAATTTTCCTGTTCTGTTGTTTCTAGAGTTATCATCATTTTCCCTTGCCGCCAGCTTGAAACATTACAGTACTCCTGGCCTCATTTCTCTTTTTCCATCTCTAGGGATGTGCCAGTTTCTTTCCATTCTCATTGCCAATACCTTGATGAATATTTTTAAAATAATGCAGGTCTTTACCACCCTCACCTCAAGTATCACAATATTGTGAATTATCCTTGACCTCTGTTTTTAAATTGCTGTAATTTAGCTTTCTAAATTAATTGTAAAAATACGCTGAAACACTGTACAAGTCAGTCCTCTTTCTAAAATCTTCAGTAGTTTCTCTATACAATAATATCTGGGATTCTTTTGTAGATTCATGGAGACACTTTTTAGGTGTTCCCTAAACATTGCCAAGCACACTTAGTCTTTGATAATTTTTCTACAACATCCTTTGTTATTTTATTGTACTCTTACCTGTCAGACCTGCTTTACATTATCTCCTTGAGGCATTCTCTATGTCATGTCAGGACTCCAGATTTGATCTTGAATAACTTTTGCCTATATTTTTAATTTTTCACTTTGTGCTACCTTGTAGCACTGGTATGTGTGTGTGTGTGTGTATGCCCTTGTGTATATATTTGCATGTATAACAAATGCACATGTACTATATATTGTTATATACATATATAATTCATAGATATGTACATGCATTTTTCTCTCTTTGCTAAAATGAATAATTTTAAAATCATCCTAGTGCCTTCACAGAAGGCATTTGATAAGGACTTGATATTGATGAGGCAGAAGATGGTGTTCTCAAACAATGACAGAACTCACAGACCTCATTCAACCAAGAGTTTGGGGATACTGCATATAAAAATATGGTTGAGTTGAGATAAGAACAAAAGAGAAATTGAATTAGTTCCGTGTCTTGCTCCTTGCTCACACATTGATTGTTTGGGGACCCCCAGATAGCAAATAGTTACAGGGAAATGCCACAGCCACGGGCTTAGTGGGACATAGCCATGCTTAAGTCTGTCCTTCGACCTTGTGCCCACCTCTATCTCCCAATTTTCTTCTTCCTCTTTATCATCAGAGCTCTTGAAAAGAATAGTCTATACTTTTTCCTAATTCTTTTCTTTGGGTTTTATGTCTTTACATGGTACAGTCTGTCATTTGCTGTCATTCCTCTGAAATTGCTTTTGGCAAAGTCACTATAGCTTCCTACTTGCTAATTTCAATGGATACTTTTTAGTTCTTACCTAATTGAATTTGCTATAGCTTTTGACACAATATTCTTCTTGAAACTTGATGCTTTCTTGATTGCCATACACTATTCCTGATTTTTTAAGATTTTCTTTCTCTCAGACTACTATTTTTTTGCCCTGAAATATAGTACTTCCATTTGACTTTATATTTTTGTTGTTTCAGTGCTGGGAATCAAACCCAAGACTTCACATGTGCTGGGTGGATGCTGTGCTATTGAGCTAGATCTCCAATCCTTCACTAGACTTTAAAATGTTGCTAATATCCAGGGTTCTTAAACACTGTTTTTCTTTTAATCTCTTCATCTTCCCTTGTTGGTGTGGGGTTTGGAGTGATGTATATAAAGCACAAATTTCTGGTTACATGAAACTCATTTGACTATTAATATTACTCCTGTTATCATATCTCTGAATTCATGACCTTCTTTCCATTTCTACTCCCTGTTTTGGTTCAAATGTTCACATTTTCTCTGGATTTTAGTTGGTGTCCCTATTTCTAACCCATTCTTTATAATCCTGTTAGTGATATTTGTGAAATTTCAGTTTGACATGCTCTTAGGTGAATATATTACCTTTATTTACTCATCGGATCCTTTGAGCACCCCAGATGTTTTCTCCAAGAGTCTTTATGGCTTGTTCCTCAATATAGAAGAACTTCCTAAGAAAGTAGAGATGTTTGACTCCATGACAAGCACCAAAGGTATTTTCTTGTTAGAATAGGAAAAAAGCCCTATTTTTCATGGAACTTACATTTTCATAAGAGAAATCAGTCAGTATACACCAATAT